TTGTAGAAGCCAGTCTCTGGGGACAACTTGGTCAAAGCTATGTGGACATAGACCTGGTCCTTATTGCCAGCATGAAGGAGCGACTGTCTGAGGTGCGTGGGATCGCTTTCCTTGAAGGCGCCAACGATGAATGTAGCCGGCATCTTAGGAATGGCTTTGCCCATTGGATCGTAGAAAGGGCGGAGGGTCTGGCGCCAATTCTGTAATAAAGAGAATCGTCAGTACGTTGGTGGGAATGATGGTGAGTGATTGTACCGAGACAAACTCATCTCGCACCAAGTACGCTTGAACCGGCAACACATATGACCGTGCCGTCTCCGATTCCGCATTCACCGGAAGGCCCCGATCAATGATTCCAACTACTTCCCGGATTAGAGCAAGGGAAATTGCGTTTGGGATGACTGTGTAGCCGTCCGCCTCCACTGAAGCTTGGACTGGAGCTTGTTGCAATGGTGGCAAGTTCGGCCTGGGCAGGATGTCATAGGATGGCGGCAGGAGTCGAACGCCAGGTGATCCGTATGGCAGATCGAAGGAGCTCGATGGTGTCAAAGGCTTGGAAGGAGACCCTAGCGTGAAAGCGGCGAAAGAACGAGATGGCGAGAGACGAGGACGTGGGAAGGCCGAGCGAGGTGCGGTAAAGAAGGGAGAGCCAGGAAAGTCGCGGGTCGGCAAATGAGGACTTGGGGCGATCGAGCTAGGGCTGTTGGGGAATGAGGCACCTGCCTGTTCACGGTAGCCAGAGGAAGAAGAGGGCCCTGCGAAGCGAAGTTCATGGGGACCCGGGACCTTGAACGTGTTGAGGAACGGGAGATCCACGGAGGCTATCGTGCGAGGGTGCGGATACAACATGGACATGGGAACGTCTCCATCGTCATCAACGTGTGCACCGGTGGATGATTGAGGATCGGCCAGATGCAGAGGTTCCTTGCGAGAGCGACCGTTTCGACGCTTTCCTGCCTGAGACTCACGGTTTTGGGTCAGCGACTTTGGTCCAACGGATGTAGGAGCTCGAGCTCCACTGGAGATACGATTCGGAGCATGATGGTGAGAAGCAGGCGTGAACTGAGCCCCAGCCAAGGAGGTCGTGATATTGGAGGGCTCGCGTGAGCCCTGGCTGTTGCGACGACTCTTTGGAGGACGAAGCTCGGCCGAGGAAGCAGTGCGTTTGGAGGGGCGTGAAGGTAGCTCTTGGGAGCGAAGGGGCGGAATCGCGTTGCCTGAGAGGTATGGAGAGCCATAAGCCACGGAGACCTGAGGAGGTGAAGGAGGCACCGAGGAGAGCGGAGTGTCCCCAGCAGATGAGACGGTTGGAGGAAGATATTCAGTTTGCTCCCTCGGTTCCGTTTGGAGTGTTCTCAGAGCTTTGGCTGCCTCCTCGGTTCTCACTGCGTCTCCGACTTCGGAAGAATGTTCGGCCGAAGCCAAGGGTGGAGGTGGTGAGGTCATTTTCGAGACTGTTCTTCGTCTTCGAGATAATTGCAAAGAGAGGGTTAATTAATTCTTTTGACGCTGAGTATCATCGACTCTTTTGTATTCGAGCAGACCATTTCCCTACCAGCCCCGGGCTCCATCAGTCATCTGCCATTCATACGACAGCTAACTCTGAAACGAAGCCCTCGCTTCCGTTCGCCGCTCCTTGTCGCTCCGCACAAATAGAGTCCTTCACGCCCGCCAGACTATCGGGACTCGCAGAAATCATCGAATCACGACAGCTCCAAGAAGAACATGTCTTCCACAGGAGCATCTGATTCTGGCTCGAATCCTTCGATGCTACACGGCCATGCAGCTTACGTCGCTGCTGCCGCGAAGGTATGTCTACTTACCACTGTGTCTGCATCGGCCATAAGTGTCATGCATGATTCGTATTGTCGAATCCTTCACCAACCGTCCAATTGTATTACAAGATGATCGCTTTGACTCTTCATGACATTTGATCTTCAGAAGTCTTGACTAAAATCTCACGTTTGCACAGGAGACCATCGGATCATATACCTCTGCCGACATGCACAGTGCAGGCAGCGCTGATAAGCAAGCTGCGGTCGATGAGATGCGTGCTGCGAAGCAGGCTAGTGACGCTCAAGGTGAGGAGATAAGCAAGAACCAGACACTTGGCAAGGTAGAGCAGAGTTTGGGGAGTGCCACTGGTTGCGAAGGCATGGAAGAAGAAGGCGGGAAGCGTCAAAGTTGAGTAGATGATAGGATACTCGCTGCACAGGCCAGCTGCAGGGTGATGATTGGATGAAAGGAAAAGCAGGGCTAGGAATGGGAGACAGGAAGTCACGAATTGCCACATGAACAGATGGAAAATGGGGCATAAGAGATAATTTTTTGAAACGAATTCGTCGGCACAGAGATGGTGATATTCGCAGGACTGTAGGCTAGTTTAGCAGAGCCTCAAAATTGAATTCCCCGAGTGTCTGGGGTACATATAGACCAGCAAAGTCAATTCATCACACCCACTTTCTCTTCATGTACCTGTTTATTTGCCACCGTGTAGGCCTCGTAAAAGATGTGCAACAGTGCATAAAGTAATCTATCAAAATGCATGTAATCCTGCATTGCAGCTGCACTCCAGACAATAAAAACCTGCTTCGGATTTACAGCGGGTGATAGAGTAATTGATAAGGGATAAGGGATAAGGGATAAGGATAAAGTGGTTATTCATACATATGTATGCGGACCCGGAACTTGCTCGCCACCAGTGAACCTCGCTGCGAGCCGTTGCGGTCGCTGCAGATCCCTTCCACAAAAAGTGCACTAGTAACATTTTTTCTCCCAGCAATATGCTGCATAGCAAATTGCCTAAGATCTCACTGCAGGGTGCGTTATGCCACTCCCACTCAGCCAGAGTACGGTGCATTATCACCGGACGGCATCAACCGACCTCGGCCATTCATCCACCACGTACCATATCCACATATGGTTATACACAAGCGAAATCCTTGGTCTACGCGAAACATGGCAATCCGAGTGAGGTGCTCAGGTACGTCGGTACCTGCATCTCTGCATCAAAGTGAAGGGGGCGGTGCTGAAACCGAACAGTCTACACACGCATAGCATTGGACCCCCACATTCTTCCCTTGTGACGCTACGGACGCTCTCGGCGCCCCTCAATCCTGCGGACATCAATCAGATACAAGGTACCTATCCTACCGTGCCTCCCTTTACGAGCTCCCTCGGCACAACCCAACCGACTGCTGTGCCGGGCAACGAAGCCTGCTTTGAGGTGCTGGCGGCCGGCTCCGGGGTCAAGAACGTGCGGAAGGGGGATTGGGTCATTGCGAAGCATACAGGGTTGGGGACTTGGAGGACGCATTTGCAGGTTGAGGAGGAGGAGGTGATGAGGGTGGAGAAGGAGGGGTTGAGGAGTGAGCAGGTGGGGACCGTTGGGGTGAGTGTGTGTTGGAGTGGGCCCTTCGTCATGTTACACAAGAATTTTTTTGAAGATTCTAATCTTTACACAAATCATCTTTCAACGATTGCTGGGGAAACCCACTGCTGACTCGAGGCTCTTCAAGGTAAACCCTGTCACTGCCTACCGCATGCTCAAGGACTTCGTCAAGCTAGACGAGGGCGACTGGTGGATCCAGAACGGTGCCAACAGCGGAGTTGGCCGAGCAGCCATCCAGCTAGGAAAGAGGTGGGGCTATAAGTCCATCGCCGTCGTCCGCTCACGGCCGGGTGAAGAGGGAGAGAAGTTGAAGAAAGAGCTACAAGATCTGGGCGCTACTGAAGTTGTCACAGATGAAGAAATGCAACAGAAAGGCTTCAAAGATCAAGTTAAAGAGTGGACCAACAGCGGCCGCTCTCCCCTCAAACTCGCTCTCAACTGTGTCGGCGGCGACGCCGCGATGGCAATGGCCAAGCCCCTCTCCTCCGGCGCCTGTATGGTGACCTACGGCGCCATGTCCAAATCACCCATGCGGGTCGGAGCGGCCATGCTGATCTTCAAAGACCTACGCTTCTCTGGATTCTGGGTGAGTAGGTGGAGTGATGCGCATCCGGAGGAGAAGAAGAGGACGGTGGATGAGTTGTTGGAGATCATGAGGAGGGGAGAGTTTCGGGATACGCCGATGGTGGGGGTGGGGTGGGACTGGGGGACGGAGAGGGAGGTCCTCGTGGATGCGGTACAAGGAACCTTGGAGGGGTATAGGAAGGGAAAGGGGGTTTTTGTCTTTGGAGACACGTAATCGATCGATGAAGCGTTGTGACAACAAGCTCATACTGTTGAGATTCAGCGACTGAAGACAAGAAATGCCTCTTCACCACCTCCCCTCCCTCAATTCCCCTTATCGAACTCTCTCCATACTCGACCCTCCATTCCATTCCATTCCATCCCATCCCAGCCCATCGAAACCACTCAAACCGCACGCCGTAAATTCAGCCGGCGCCCGGGATCTCCCTCCACCTCCACACCTCCCAAGATCTCCCGTTCGTTCGTCCGTTCGGCCCACCCTTTCCACCCTAACCCTGTAATCGAATCAGACACTAAAGTACTCCTACACTCACACGCCATCCATCCATCCATCCATCCATCCCTTCTTCCCCCATCCCACCTCTGTCCGCCCGTTCGGTGTCGTCGAGGTCGCGTGCTGTGCGTGAACGTGGAGCACTGTCACCGAAAAATGTTCACCACCGATCCCCTTATCGAAGAGCACCAGCAACCCCTTCCCCCCCCCTCTCTCATCCCTGCCACGAAGGGGACCCACGCGCCGGGATCGACTCGGTCCCGTTCCACACCTCGCGCGGAGGCATCGCGGCTCGGTGCGTGCGGGTTGGAAGCGAAACATCGTGGGCTTTTGGAACAGAGGCGAGGACACGCTGCTACAGTACGCACCGTCCTTCTTTTGGGTGGGAGGCTGGGAGGGACCACGGCGTTGGGCGGACGGGACGGGCGGATTGCGGTTGGTTGGGTTGGTTCGTTGGGGGTGGTGTGGGGTGGAGTAGTAGGTAGGTAGTACTAGTACGGGTAGATTGGAAGGCCGGAGGGGATCAGTAGGGTGATGCAAATTCGCGACCTTTGCAATGCGAAGCTAAATGGAAAGAATCGCGCTGTGTTCGTTTTTTACATGCGCTGGGTCAGGTGACTGGTGTCCTTCCGGGGTATAATGCGAGGATTAGCAGAGAGGGAAGGGAGGGAAATAGAGACCTGGTAAATTGAGTGCAATAGAGTTGTGGAGGACGATGGGGATGGTGAAGGGGTGAGTGTGAGAGGGTTGCGGATGTTGGAGGCGGGAGAAAGGGGGAATGAGGAATGAGGACGGGGCTTTGGGTGGGGGTAATGGAAGGTTTGGGGTTTCTGTAGGCGGAGAGGATGGTGCGTTTGTTTGTGTGTTGGGAGGGAGACCCAAGAGATGCACAGTCAGCGATAGGTCGCCGCTATGCATAGCTATGCCCTTTGGAAAGTGGTTCTGATAGTTCAGACCTGCATTGTTCTTCTTCGCGCGCTTTTTGCAGTGGAACTTATCGCATAGAAGCAGAGGGGGCAGGGTGGAGGGGTAGGATGGGGAAACATGTTTAGGCGGCTTTTAAGTCGATTCTTGACGGCCTGGATTCTTCAAGGAGACGGCAATGAACAACAAGCGTAGCAGGTTGAGCTTGATCTCTGTGCCTGGTAAAAGGTGCGAAATGATAGCCTTTTGATAACGCGAACGGATGAAAGAGTAAATGTAGGGACTAACATCTTACTTCAAAACATACTTTGTGATCATTGCGACCTCTACTACTTTGAACATTGCATAGAACACTCGAAAAGAAATAATCAGTACCACATACAGCCCATCCAGGCAACGAATCGTCACTAATCCCTCGCACAGCTAATTGCGTTGCGAAAGTCTGAGGCACTGCATAGAGACAGTTAGTAACTGCCGCATAATAAGTGTCCGTGTGAGAACGTTACTCACCTGTGCCGGTCCAAGGAGCAGACCATAACACTGATTCGGGTTCAACGTGTTCCCATTCGAATTCGGGCTCGTCGTTTCGTGGAACAACGTGCACTGCTCCGGATCGCCGTTGACGGCGCCCATGCCCGCCGTGGGCCCGCTGAAGTCGAGCTGTTCCCGAAGGGTGGTGGCTCGGCTGAGGCTATAGGATAAGACCGGCATGAGCGCGTTGTTGATGTAGGGTATGGTTTGGTTGCCGTAAGGCAGGGCCATGGTGGTGTTGAGGCCCGTCCCGTTGGAGTTGCAGTTCAGGCCGCTGTAGAGGACGATGTTCATGTTGGAAACGGGGGGGTTCGTCGTCGAGTTGTTCGGGGCGTTTGTGCCGTTCGTGGCGTTCGTGGCGAGAGTGCCGGCACTCAGTGCCAAAAGGATGGGAGTCGCAAGCACGACGGTATACATGGTTGGATTGGGATTTTTGAGGTCCAGAGGCCGGTGTAGGGTTTTGACGGCGTTGAAATTGGATGGAGGGGTCGTTGAATCTGGCGGGAATGGGCAGGTGTTGCCATGGTTTATGTAGGCAGAGCCCCCAGCACTCTGCGGGCAGACACAAAAGAAAACAAAAAGCCCGGTAGTAGGCCTTGTCCAAACATGAAACCCTTTCGGTGAGTTGTGTTTGTTAAGTGTCTTTCAAATCGGGCAGTCCTTGTTCCAGATGATGCAATTCAATTGCCTCAAATAGCTGATCGAATCCTTTCAGAGGGTCCTGTATGTCAAAGAATCCCCCATGCAATACTAACGGGTGTTCCTTGTCCCATTGTAAGCAGGATAAGATTGGCAAACGTAGGTTTTCGATCCTTTATCATGGTTCAAGCGTCCTTTGTAATTGACGCAGCGCGTCTCTTCTGGCGGCTTCCTTCCGCTACTGTCTTTGACGAAAAAGGTCAAAGAGCATTGAGGCAACCCGTACCCACGTAAGCAGAATGTGCACCGAAGAAGATGGATCGATACATTCAGCTAAGTTTCCGTCAATAAATTTCCAGGCACGTAGCAATCGGAAACTTTGGCGTTGCAATTGAGATTGAACTTCCAGTCGCTGAATGTTTGATGCTCTGTAGCGAAATCTGGGTCCAAACTCATTTGCTATCTTTTCGAACATCATCCAAGAAGTCTAGATATGCCTTCTGACATTCTTCTGAGCGGTCGAATACATCTCGTGACAAGCTCCATCGACCACTTCAAGCCTTGACCAGACTACTTTCTCATGCAGCTCTCTCTGCGAGTCCAAGCCTTCAAGTACTGCCAAGCTACTTTTCGCAGGTGCCAGAATCAGCATCGGTACTGTAATATCTCCCAGGCAGTTGCGAGCATCCATTGTTGAAAGCAACTCCGCGTGTCCAGCTAAACCCTCACCGGTGCACTTGGCCACTTGGTCCTTCCACCAACTATCTGACAATCGATCCGTACCAAGAGGCTCTGCGGCACCTTCGACATATCCACGCGATCTGAGCTCCAGGCACGCTGCTGGCCAGCGTCTATATCCGAATGCTAGCCCGTTTTGTGTCGCTGCCGGCAGAAACTTGGGCGTGGAGTATGTGGTGACGCTTGCATCAAAGAGAGCTCGAAGAGTCTCTGTGCTTCACAACGAGATTTTCAGATCTTTAGAAGCTCGCTTACAACGGATGAACAGGACCAGTCGACGAAGCGTGCTCTACTTATCCCTGAAGCCGGATATCCAAATCCAGAATACGCCAAGCACGCGGTTACTCCAATAAGTGACGAGCAATAATCCATATGTAGTAATGATCAAAAATGAGGAAAGACCTGGGTCCAGGTTGGGGTGTTGTAGGCGGCTGCTGGTAACTCTCTAATGCTGATGAAGGCCTCGATAACAATGAATGCTCTTGCAAGAACAAGCGAGACCCCACAGACGAGTACCGGTACCCCTATTAGGAAGTTCTGCCACCATCTACCTCCTCCATCCATCCATTTCTCCCAGAAAGCGTTAAGCGGGCCGAATGATTGGGCGAGGTAGTTCAGAACGATCCAGAGTCCGCCGCAGAAGCCAATGTATAACGAGCATGACCGCCAAAGCCATTGCTCTGCTACGGTGGGGAAATGGTCGTTCCATGCACTAAGGTGGACTGCTCCGTACGCAAGACATGCTAGCCACAAGACCATGCCCACAACCAAGCCGCCGACATCGCGTAAAAGATCATCGGAAGGCCAATTCCGGACTCGGCGGACTAAAAACTCCTCTGACTTGAAATGCAGGCATCGGCCTTCGTGATGTGAGTAGAAGAGATGATGTTCTTTGATGGCGGGGTAGGTTCCAATAGCAGTAGTAGCTAAAGCCCATCTTCTAATATAGGTATCTGAGATAGAGCTCCCAGCAAGGTCGATGCCTTTAACTCTTGGCGGTCTCTCAAAGAACGCCGTACTTGCTGCTTTCACAAGTCTTTTCGCTCGTACTTCTGCAAGACATGTCTTGGCCGCTGGAATGAGCCTTTGAATGGGAAGCGGCCAGTCGTTCGGTTCTCCGGTGTAGTCTGATGCCTCGCCCTGACACGGCTCATCAGGGGAGTCCAAGCTGAAAACCGTCATCGAAGATGTATCACTGAACCCATCAACAGCGCTGCTATCGGCGATCCGAACTGACTGATGAAATAACAATATATCCATCTCAGGTACTTTGGAGTAGAGACGGATCGATGCGAATAACGTCTTTACTGCGGTCTGCGACTCGATTGAGATCTCATCGACCCCCCCACTCATCTCATTGCTCATGTACATGTAAGCACACAAGGGCTTTATCCAGTCACCTCTTAGTATTATAGGTTCCTTTGGGGCCAGAGGCTTATGCCACCACATAGCGTACATAAGAAACGCACACATCCTTTCGCAAGTAAGTAAGATTCGAGATCTTGGGCAGGCAAAGGGGTAGCCACTTACACATGCGCTATTGTATTTACTTCTAGCAGAGTGACGGGTAAGGCGGCAACAAGGCGCCCAATGACTTGTACAAGCATCCGCGAGGCTTGGATGATGACCAGAGCCTTGGCCACGTTGTTTGCTTTGCTTTTGTCCTTGATCTCTGCTTCGGAGATATTGGGTAGGTGGCCGCAGCTTGCTAAGAGCGCGACTCCACGAGCCGTGAGGGTGAGCCTTTTACAGCCATTTGGTAAATATTGAGCCCGGTCGTCCGCAATCTCGAAGGCGAACCCACCTGTCGAGGCGAAGAAAGAATGGGTCATAGTCCACTCGTGGAGTAAGGTATCCGGGGCGGTTGCCCGTTCCTCCCGCCAATCGTATGGCTGCTTCCCAAAATGCCTCTGTCTTTCTACCAGACGGCTTAGAAGCTTTGCCGAACTCCATTGCCGCCAAGCAGTGAAGACCATGAGTTCTGGAGCATAAACACCGGTAACAATCCATAGAGATTGAGCCATAAGCGAGTTCAGTGCCGTCTGTGATTTGCTGGGAACGTTAAGATGTAGGGCAGACCAAACACAAAGTATGAGTGTGAGAACACATGAGATGATGAGTGAAAGGGTCCCACGCCCGTTTGGATCGCCAATGTACTGGACATATTGCGTTGGTTGGTCAACTTGCACGGACATAGATTGTGGGGTTGCTGGAGCTGTAAGGCATCGGTGGACAAAGAACGCGTATATAAGGAGGCCAGGCGAGCAGAAAAACATGATCATAGGTGGCTAATCCCTCCCAAAGGCGACCAGACTTGGGAGACGGAGACAAGTTTGTAGCCCCATAAGATATTGGGAACTTACCATCATCTTCTATTACAGCAAGGAACAAGAGTAACATCAAAATAGTAATGTAGGAGTACTGCTTTGAGGCACAATGGTTTGAGGAGGCGCCCCGATCCAGAGCGATAGGGTCACGCATCTTGGCCCCCATAGAATTGTTTCAGCTTACGCCACGAATTTCTCAGATCTGTCAAATGTGAGCCGCACTTCGCTGTGGAGACATCTGCATAGTTTTGAGTGAAAGGAAGGGGACTGTGGTTTTTGGCGGGAGTGTGGACGGCTTTGCTCGTTGGATGACCATTAGAAGGATAGGCGCAGAGACTGGCTGGACATGAGCGAAGAAGGCGACGTTGAAGGTTTGAAATAGATGGCCGGGCAGAACAGTGTGGCTTTAGGAATGGGCGCGTTGGAGGAAACCGGAGGCTTCGATGATAAACTTGTCTCAATATATTTGGTATCCAGGGTCTACCTTAAATATCGTAATCTCTACGACTTGAATGTTTTCAACGCTGGCGTGCCTGGCGCAGGCGGGTCCGAAAACCTCGTCTCCACAAAGATCTTCTGCATCTTGTCACCTCGCTCATTGAAGATCTTGTACACCTCGTCCATCTCTTCAACCTTGACGCGATGCGTCAACATCTTGTAAGGATCTGTTTTGCCCTCCCTGATCATCTGCAGCAATTGCTCCCAGTAAAGATGCACGGGTGCTTGTCCGTTCCCAATCAGGCGGATACCGCGTTCCATGAGCGAGCCGATGTTGAAGTGGTTGGTGAAGCCCACATAGACACCTGTGATACCGCAGCGGCCGAAATTCTTGACCGAGGTGATCATTTCATTGACGATTTCTGATGTGTCAGTCTCGGCGCCAACCATCAATTCGAAGCGGTGGGCCCAGCCTTTGGCGTACTCGCCGGCGACACACTCAAGAGCAACGTCGGGGCCACCATGTTCCATTTCCTTCAGGCGTGATGTTACGCTAGTGCCGTGCGGGAGGTCCGTGTAGTTGAGGAGCTCGAGTTTTGGCATCTTCTCTTTGCAGAAGTCTAATCTCCATGCTCCGTTGCCACCGTCGATCATGATGACTCTGCTTGCGCCGTTTGTGAAGCTCATCTCGGCACACATCTCTCCAATAGGTCCGGCACCCCAGATGGCAACGACATCTCCCTCTTTTACGCCAGTGTCAACCACGCAGTTCCAGCTCGTAGCCAGAACATCTGACAGGTACAAGCCCTTCTCGTCTGGTACATCGTCTGGCAGCTTAAGGAGGTTGACGTCACCGAATGGCACCCTCACGTATTCTGCTTGTCCTCCCGCAAATCCACCGGTAAAATGGCTGTATCCGAACATTCCAGCGGTTCGTCCACCATACATGGCATTCTCAATGGTGTTGCTATTCGTCCGCTCACACTGCGAGGACAGCTTCTTCTTGCAGTACATGCATTCTCCGCAGGCAATTTGGAAGGATGCGACGACCCTTTGCCCAACCTCGAGGCCTTTGACGCCTGGTCCCATACTGTCGACTTTGCCGCAGAATTCGTGGCCAAGGATATCGCCTTTTTGGAGCTCGACGACGGAGCCGTGGTAGAGATGGAGGTCGGAGCCGCAGATGGTGGAGCCGGTGACCTTGAGGATTACGTCACGATCTTCGAGGATTTTAGGCTTCGGGCATTCGACTGGAGACAGGCTGTTAGCAGTGGCAGAGCGAGGAGGTCGAAGGGACCGAGATAGGAGTGTACGTACTCATTTGAACGTCGTTCTTGCCCATCCAGGCAAGAGCCTTCATGTTTTCCGAGGGATCTCCATATTTCGCACGGTCTCTGGCTGGGTTGGTCATGTTCTGCTCAGTGACTGCGTTGTCACCGTGGCCCATGGCCTTTTCAGCCAGGTTGGCGCTCTGTGACATTGCCATGGTAATTGTATCTGTTGGGGAGATGCTTCGGTTTCGTTTAGTAAAGAGTCGAGAATATAAAGAGTGTATGATTCAAGAACGAGGATTAAATCCATGGCCGGCATGTTGATAGCTACGTCACTATCATGTCATTACCGGCCACGGGTAGTGCCTCCGGGACATCTACCGCGTCCTCCAATGTCGTCTCCTAACCGAGATGTCATTGGCGATAGTATTCATGACAAATCTCGGCGGCGCGAAGTATGCCTTGAGAAAAGCCTGAGAGGAAGAAGGCGGTTGACACGACCAGACAGGTAGGCATGTCACATAGAGGAGGGAACGCAGAGCGCGGCTGGAACAGCCGCCAAGCCTGGAGCTCTGAGCTCTAATTAGCTTCATCACGTGATTTGATGTTGCTAGCCTCGATACAAGAGCTTGGCATTTCGCCGTCTCTTCGACATTAAGCATACATTTGTATATCTCACGTCAATACGCTTCTCCAGAGCTTCTAGCTCCGCCTGACTCTCCGGCTTTTGATTTTTCATTCAGCCATTATCCTTATGCCATTGAGACATTCAAGGAGTTGGCCACAATTTCATGATCTCGCTCAACCATCGTCAAGATGATGGAAAAATGGACGTCTTGTCACAGTCTAGATTCCGGTTTTGTCTACATTAGGATGATCAATCAGTAGCCAATAACCTAGCGGCTGCTATATCGACGTTGTATCTGAACGGTGAATTGCATTTCCCCCCCAAAAAAAGACAGTCCATACGGACCCGTGCCTACCACACGCCTCGGTATCTTACAAGGTAAGTCAACTTCCCAAGTCCCAGCGACAATGTCTTGATCCTCAGTCTCAAGACCAAAACCTCACAAGATCGAGCTATCCGAGAATTCTCACCAGTCAAGGCTTTTGCGTGTAGTTCCAAGTTCAACACTCATAGTTCTCATCAGCCCCAAATAACTCAAACTTCCTACTACGAATGCCAGACTCATATCCCGAAATAAGCTAATAGGCGTTCATTCGATAAATTCTACCTGGGCCCTTCAGTGGGGAGTCGCTGTTGGTTAGAATGCGCCACCAAGCACCTGATTTCTACATCCATTTTGTTTGGCCATGCTTCCGTAGCCACGCGAGCATGGCAATCCGCAACCCCATCGTGAATTACGTTCTGGCAGCATGAGTCTTGCTCCTATACTATCCCAAAAAATTATTGACCTCCTCCATCAGAAACCATGAGGCCCCAGTGATTAGTAGCGCAAATGTGACTTTGGTAAGGAAAACCCACGGACTTCTCCCGCTTCCATTGAGCTCTCTCAAATTCATTCCAAACATAGAAGTTGCAAGGTTGAGGGGGACGTAAACAAAGGCGAGGATTGTGACTGCAATTATATTAATGTCTTCATCATCGTTGTATGCTCACTTTTCACGCTCACAGATTTTGACTACGCTTTATTAGTGGATGGTGTCGGAACTTTGCAGTCATGAGCAAGACTCACTCCGTTTTCCTTCTTTGATCTGACGATTTGAAAGCTCAATGGACTTTTTCGATTCTTGCAATTGCCAATCTCCAACTTGAATGTGCAGATAAACACGAACCTGTGCTTCCAATCGACCTGCTTCCCGATGACTTGTTCTGAGGTTTTCTTCCATCTTGTGCCAGGATCTTTCCGGCAGCCAAACTGCCGGTTTTTGGGAATCTATGTATCTCAAAAGATGGTTTAAGCCATCTTCCGAATCTTCCACCATTGCTCGCAGCCGAACTCGGTTTCTAAGCAGATCAGAGGTGATCTCTTCCCTCTGAGCCATAGGACAAAGATCGTCCGCAAGCCCCAGGTGCTCAGAATATTCCTCACGGAAGCTCTCGCGGAAATCACCGATTCGGAATGTGCTGGGATACAACAAGGCAATCAGCGTTTTCTAAACCAAGTCCGTAACGTCAAGCGCTGGCTCATTCTCGTTAAGCCAGTTGAGAAGACGTGTATAGTTCAAATGCTCGGATCTCCCCATATCATAACGCACCAGCCCGCATGAGTCTCGATTATGCGGATCTGTGTAGAATTGATAGCTTTCATCGGCCGGGCTCCTGAAAGGGAAGATATCACCGATCTCCTCTTCAACAGCATCCGCCAACATCGATTCCCATTCCATGCGAGCAATGAGAACGATGGGGAATGCATCTAGCTATCCAGGTCATAGTGACGCACCACTGTAGCGACAATCCCACCAATTCTGACGTGTCTGAAATCCAAAGGTCGCCTGTTTCCACTACAAAGAGCTTCCGAAAAAACGTGGGTCAATCCTCAAGCCCAATCCGAGCGCGTTCACCACACTTGGTTTAAGGTAATGGTCAGAGTTCCACAGCACTATCTGGACAGCAACATTGGCCGGTGGTTGCCGCAGATTCATGACAAACGGAGTCACTGTCACAGCGTGGAACTGCCCCCGGCCGGGAGCTTTCGTCAATTGATAGGTCGAGTATGGTGAATCTGTGCCGTTGATAGCTGGAAGCATCGTTGCAAGCTGCAATTAAGCCCTACAGTAACTTCTTCAGACATGGTTGTGGATGTTTTCTTGTAAGCTTTAAGGTAGTCGACATATGATGAATATCCTGTCTCAGCCTCCAGAACAGCCCAAAACTCGTCGGCAGAATCATTGGTGTCATCAGTTGACAGCCTTCCGAGAGGGACTCCGCCATCATTGATCGCGCTAGACTCGTCAGTGTGGCGAGGACCAAGACACCCACGACGAGCAACCACGCGGAAATAGTTGGGACGCTCATGACGCTCAGTGCCCGGCCGGGGGCATGAATACATCATGATTCCTGCCTGTCTTGGAGGCTACTTGCCTCGAGGTTGCCAATACTATTCCAACAGCAAGAAAAGAGGACGTGGATCGATGATACCACCTGACCCTACGGCGGAGCTTCCGATGATCGACGACAGTCTTTTAAGATGTAAGGATCCTCTCTGTCGACATTACGACCGTCGTCATTATCTCGACGAGTTCAGGAATTGGTTGAGAAGAGAAGGAACGGTAAGAAGATAGATTTCCGACATGATACTGCCGATGGAGAGCCTATGAGAGGACCTGCATATGCATATGGGCGGATAGAATTTAATTTGATGCAACGAGTACAGAATAATGTACAGGGAACGCCTGTTTACCACATCTCTGCTCCGCAGGTCGTTGCCGCCTTGTGCCTTTCGGAGTGACTAACCGCAAAGTTCACCGTTCGCTGCCAGAAAGGCACAGGCCTTGTGCAGCGTCTGCAATCGCTGATTTAATTCAAAGCCTTTTCACAAAGGGTGGAAATGATTAGAGTCAACGACGTGCTACACTTTGGACGATGAGCAGTCGCGCATCTACCCACGAAGCCTTCCCCTTTATCATACATCGTAACGACCGTCTTTGACCTAGATAATCTTGCAGTATCAATCCGAACCCTAGGTTCTCCTTTGCTAACAGTGTACGTTTCAATTCGCGCTGTCTTCGCTGCCTGTATCATTAGCTCGCGTAGCATCGTTCTACTCTCCACGACCTGATGCCTTGCCATATGATCCTTGAGGGCTGGGGGGCGTTTGACTGTGGCTGCCCTTGCGGCACATAAATTCATGGTCAGTATCGCTAGGAGGTGCTTTGATACACGCAATCTGAATATAAGGGATGAATGGAAGGCAAAGCTGCCTGCTACTGCTGCGAAACGTTCACAGTCGGGGCTGTACAGTTGCCTGCGGAGTTGCTCGCCTATACCCGCATCATCTACGTAGTTTGCTTGCTTGTAGGATGGGACACGCTGTTTGTTGAAAGGGCAAAAAGGCACAAGCGAGAACGAACGTGCTGACGCAGATGTCCCTTGGCTTTGGGAAGTGGCTTGGACATCTGTGAGAGGCGCCCTGATGGCGGATGGTTTTGCTAAAGCTGGTCCTTTTCGCATGATGCCGACTTCTTACGAGATGTCTGACGCTGGGAAGAGAGAGGATGTTAAGATGGATATATGCTTAACTATGGGACTGCGGTGACCAGTCCAAAGCCCAACGCGAGGGGCGACGCTGGCTTGTAAATGGCCTCACAATCCGGTATTTCAAGGCTCAAGAAGAATCCAGCCAGCTTCAAGAAGCTCGTGATCGTTCAACGAGCGTTCGTGGCACTGATGGTGGGCCTCGGCACAAAGTGCCCACCAGAGCTATGTCGTCTCTAAGCTTGCTAGCGTAAGGAATCAGGCCGTCAACGCTTGTGGTCATTATTCTCTTGTAATTCTCAGATACTAAGGTATTACGTGCATAAACGTGGGGCTTAACTGATCTCGTTATCAGAATTCATGACCATGATTATCGGCGGATAACTCCGGAGAACTCTGCATGTGACTAAGAATCAGATCTGTCCGAAACCTCTGGCGGCAATAATGTAGATTAGAATGCTTTGAGATCTAAAAAGTCAACAGTTCTTTGAGAGTATCTTCGATGCTGGAGAATCGTTGGACTGGTCAATTGACCTGCGGCCAGTTGGTCTGATAATCAGCATGCAAGATTTCGCTGGGATCAGCCTGGCTGTGGCCAAAGCCTTGTCCGATCTAAGCTGGGGTAGAGCTCTTGGGTTGGGCTGTACATCCCAGGTGCTGGGTTCATGTCTGCGCTGTCCAGCGCCGGCATTAACCTGGTCATGGTCAACAACGTGGCCGGCTTAAGTACAAGAACGGAAGGAACGGAGGAGAGTTCCTTGCGGTCAAGAGAAGAGGTCTTTGGCTAGGCTAAGTAGGGGGTAGAGGTCTTTGGCTGGGCTGAACATCCCCATGTGCTGGGCTCATGTCTGCGCCGCCCCAGCATTCTGTACACTCTGCCTTACCATATACTCTACTGGGTCGAAAGACACCTGCCTCATTGGGTCTAGCGAAGAAAGTTGTGCTAGCGTGCAGGAAATGTGACTTGTGATGCATGATTGGCTGTAAACATTTCGTGAGCAACACCAGTGTTCAAGTGCCGGACGGAAATTCGAGTTGTGTCAAAGCAGTTGATGCATGTTTCATAAACATTTCGCAATTTACCACGATCCTCAAATTGGGCCGAGATCACCATGCCCCTATTCCCATGCTCCGAAAGAAGAAATCCGAGCAAGTCCGCAGGCTTAACGCTGGCAGTGGGGTAGCCTCGTAGGTCACCTTGACTGCAGACCGCGGCGACCCGCCAGCAGATTCAACAAGATGGGTCGCGTTTCAGGTCGGGTGGGTTCTTCCAGATGCTACATAAGAAATCATAGGCTCGCTGATTATGCAGGTCGTGATGGTGGCGCCAAGGTCATGAGACAATGCCTTGGGGGCAACTTTGGAGTATGTATCTTTTCCTCTGCAGATCCTTAGATGTTCTGGATGTAACGGGATTCGCATTGCTATACTCGTACCGTCATGTAGAGAGTGTATGAGATAAAACATTCGTAGATAGAAAGTATCCTCCTTATATCAACTTAGGTTCCCGAGCATTCCCTTTAACTTGTTTCCCTTTTTGCTATTGAAGGCCATGAAACATTCAAGTATTATTCAGGGGTGGGGAAATGAAAGACGGGAATTCGGAGGGTTAAGTGCCAATACTCTCGCGTTTCAATCTGCGCACCTGCGGCTTCTTGCAGGCCAAAAGGGCGCTAAAACCTGCAGGTACAATAAAGTACATACGCGCTTATTCTTTCTGCGAATTAATTTCCCTATCGATCTCATTTCACTCACAGATCTCGTACATAAAACTCTTCACCCTCACCAACTCACCACCATCTCTCCGGTCTCTCATTACCAGAGCACTCGCTCGTTACATTCCTTCACTCATCTTCTGCCTCACATTCATTACCAACTATCTCATTCTCAGAAGCCCAGGCCGGCTTCACACAACTTACCAGACCCCAACTTCATCACACCGATAGCACAAGCATATCCGTCGACTTCACTTCATCCAAGCACCACCCATTCGATCAAAGATGAAGCTCAACGTCGCCATCCTGCTACTACCAGCAGCCTCCGCGTACAGTTACGTCTCCGGCCATCATCACCACAAATCTCATGATCACCATCGCAAACATCTCGGTACAGCTCCGTACGGCTTGAGTAACGGCACCGCCACCTTCGGTAGCTCAGGTCTCCTCTATCCACCCACTGCCACTGCTGGTAAGGCCATCTACTCCACTGTCGTCGTCACGAAGAATGCTCCGTACCAGACTGTTCTCGAGTCAGCATCACCGTCTCTGAAAGAGGCTGGTGCGTCAATTCCCTTTCCGAGCTCTTGTACGCAAGCCACGGTCACCGTGGTTACGAACGCTACCGTTACAGTGACTGTCTCTGCTCCCGAGAGCGGAACATCTGATTCCGTGATCCCCACTCAAGCACCAGTGCCTGTTCAAGCTGGCACTTCCTCCCCTGTCGAGTCCATCACTGCTTCTCCCACAGGAGAGAGCTCCAGCACCCTGTTGCCGACAGTGAACTCTATTGTGACACTCACTGCTATTGGTGCCGAGCCGAGCGCTAGCACGTCCACTCCAGCTGTGGCTGACACTCTTACAACAGTGGCCGCTGCTCCAGTCGTCGCGCTCACTTCCAGCACGTCCCCAGCCGCCATAGCTGCAGCAACGCCCGTCCCCGCGCCAGCCACAAACTCCGCAAAGAGCGCGAAGCGAGGTATCATCGTTAGCGGAGACGACACCGATGCCATAACGGCAGCGTTTGCCAACACAAAAGTCTCCTGGCTTGGCAACTGGTACTCCGGACCTCCACCCAACCTCACTCCAGACATGGGCATGTCCTACGTCCCTCAATTGTACAGCCCCCAATACGTCCAAGACGGATCATGGGCCAGCAACGCAAAGAAGGGTGTGGCTGCAGGCGACAAGTATTTCATGAGCTTCGGAGAGCCGGCACATTCTGGCATAACCGCAGAGACAGCTGTCACTTCCTGGATGCAGAACATGGAGCCATATGCCGCTCAGGGTGTCTCACTTGGAACCCCAGGAAATCTCCAGAACCCAGTCGATTTCGTATGGCTCGGAAATTTCCTCGATTTATGTGAGAAGGCCGGCTGCACCATTGGCTTCGTGTGTGTTCACTGGTTTTGGACTCCGGGTGTTAATGGCCAGCAAGATTTCAAGAACGTCGTCAACAACGCTACCGCGATGGCCAAGGGCAAGCCAGTCTGGGTCGACAACTTCGAAGCGACAGGGGATAACGCCGGACAGATCGAGTTCTTGACTAATATCATTCCATGGTTGGAAGACAACGACTTGGTCGCGCGTTATGGATACCTCGGCGACAATCGCGCAACGGGAGGCTTCCTGCCTGAAACCGGAAATGAGCTGTCGGATCTTGGCAAGTTCTACGCGACCTTCTGAGCAAGAGATAGGGCACCTGGAGGTTCCTTTCGCATTCATATAGGGAGGATGTTTTCACGTGGCCCACATCTTTTCCACTAGACAAGATGTAGGGCGATTTCATGCGGGGGAAATATTTCAATTCTTGATGCTGGCGTGGACTGGCTTCACCAAGACACCTTTTCAATTCTTGCGAATATTGTGACGATGGGATGAAGCACACTGCGTATTGCATTTAGCTTAGCTAACTTACTGTCCTTACCTCATTCAAGCTTCTGTACAGCGCTTTTGTACGTGTGCAGCCGCGACGTGTCGCCAGCCTTGTGACCATCAATGCCAGCATCTGCTCGACTCCATTCCTCGTTCCTGCTTACCCACACCCTTCCCAACCTCATTCAACACTCACTGGAAGAGATAAATGCACGCCGTCGCCTCTCTTGTTGTCGTCTTCATCAACGGCGTGCCCCGATGCGATCATCGCACCGAGAAACGTCTTGAAAAAAAAGGAAAAGCAAGAAAAATCGAGGGGTTTGCGCTTTAAAGAACCATTTCCCACCCCCAACCTCTTACCTAGGTCAGACCCGGGGAGGCGCTCCTTTAGGCTCCAATTCCACCAACTTCGCCGCACACTAGCCCCCGCAAACGTTGGTTCGCGGCCGCGCATCCCTAATGGGGGAACCCTGGCCCCCAACGACTCCCCTATACGCGCTTCCGGTACCGGGTTCCATTGGTGGATTGAGGTCGGTATGTAAATCGTGCGCGTATCATTAATAGAGTGAAGGAGATAACGTGCTACGGTCGTCTTGATGGGCGGGATACCTCGTACCGTGCTCTTGTTGCAATGGTACTGGCCGGGTTGTTTGGTTTTTCCTTCCTCCGTCGTTGCGCGCGCGTAGGGCTCCTTTTTGTTATGTCGGGGGTAGGGTTTGCTGGAGAGGGAGGGAGAGAGGGGGTTGTGTTGAAAGTAGGATACCAGACATGTTAGAAATTGAATGATTGTGACTGAAAGACTGATTATTGATTCATGGGATGTACGGATATTTATGTACATAAAACAGGTGGCTGATGGTGGCTGGTAATTACTAGCCCTGGTAATACGCGACATGTATGCGATAGCCGAAGGGGCTGGTATTGTAACAGGTTGGGGTGCTCTATGTATGTACTCATTCTGGCTTTTGCAGCCTGCAATGGCTCATGTGGATTGCTAAGTGAGTCGTCGAGTGACGGATTGGAATCGTCTGTGGGTGCTAGAGGGGATTCACAGCTGATGGCTGGTGAGGGATGTGCCGCAGCATGGTTTTTGGTTAGGTATCTGAATGATGATGGGGATTTCTTGGGCGCCGGAGAAGGGCGATGGTTTTTTAGCGAGGAGAATTGGAACATTTGACGGGACTCCGGTGTTTTAATTTTTGTAATCTCACGCTTTGAGGGAACTCGATGAGTGCTTTGGGCTAATGTTGTGGGTGTGTGGTTGGCTTACTGAATCGCCATGGACTCCGAATACTTACGTTCATCGTACGGTGGTGTTGTTGCAGCGTGCTTGTTTACTCGCCGTACCGGTTGTACTTGCCCAGTGTGGTGGACCTGTGATCGGCGAGATATCAAAGCGCTAGATCTGTAATTTGCCCATTCATATATTCACGAGTATGTATCCGTTGAGATATCTGGGTGCCTCGGTAAGAAGAGAAGAAAGCAACTAGCGATTAAAGACTGGATGATCAATAAGATATCGAGAGCCAGAAACACGAAGAGACTCCTCGAAATAAGACTTCTCAGTCTTAGTTTTAGGTCCTACGATCTTTGCGGAAAAGAAAGCCAAAGTGTCGTCGTTGATGTACTTTGACGTCGCAGATGCCGAGAACACGACCACTCGCGGTTCGGAGACCAGCTAATATGGCCCCTGCTATACTTTTGCTATTCGGCCGCGGGATGAAGTTTTTTGGATTGTGATGGTCACGTCGGGCTCCCAGCCAGGGCGGTCACCTTTCCATGAGGCAATTGGCCCAGAGACTCATGATTCTTGGATGGGCCAGGCTTACGGACACTGAGGACATACGATCCCGTGTAGTCCTGGGCAACTTATCGAGCGCCATTGGACGCGGGGAGGCTGCTGCCTCGTCATGTCTGCAAACAGAATCTGTTACGGTTTGATTCCACTTTACGGCTGAGCGGGTCGTGAGTACCTACGTTGATACCGCTTGTTGAACGGGAGCTGCAAGCATTGTCGAAAGCCCGCAGGTTAGCTCTCGAGTCGCGTCCACGAGACATAGCGGCGACGACGTCGAAAACATACGTCGCTCCGGCAACCTCCTCACTTCTTGCACTTTTCTCGAAGTCTCCTTCTCTGTCTCTATCCTTTGCTCTGACTTTCAATTCGGATTCATCCTCGCTCCAAATCTGCTTCTTCGGCCTAGGTCGGCCTTGATAAGGTTTGGATATTAGCGAGGGACGAAGTAAGTGCGTGGCACAAATACCGAGAGGCTGAGCCCGGCGGGTCGTAGGACACGCGCTGTGACATGGCCAAACGAGCTAAAGAAGGCTCCAAAGAAAAACAAACAAAATCCTTGGGGGCCGGAAAGAAAACCTCATCTCCTTGATTTCTGCCTTCATACACCAAAGATCGACCACACACGGACAGAAAGCGGAGGATGCGAGCCGAGTCGATCATGTTCATGAATTTAGATATTTACTGAGTCCTCATCAATTCAGAAGCGTGTTAGAGTATACGGTAAGCCGTCGAATGATCTTTGCGCTGTTTAGCATCTTCGAAATTCGAACACCACTGCTCTCTAGTAGTATCTAGCCCGGTTCTGCCAAAACTCTAACATCTGTGCCTCCGGGTGCGCGAAATAAACTGCAGAGGGGGCTAATTTTCCCCGCGCCAAACTTCTACCAAATCTACTCCCAATTGTATTCCACATATTCCACACAGTCATAATATCATAATTATGGGTACACGCAAGGGTCAAGATCCTCCTAGAACCCCCAGAAGGTCGACACGACATAGAGAAAGCATCCTCATTGGGACGAGCAGTCTCTTATGGAAATTCTACAGGAAGGCTGGGATAACATTAGTCAAAAGTGGATTAATGAGCTGGTAGAAAGTATGCCTAAGAGACTTCTAGACGTAATACGTCTTGAAGGAGGGATGACAGGTCATTAATAGTGTAGTTATCATAGAAAATGTACTTGATTCTCTGGCGCAAAAATTTAGCCACTCTGCAGTTTATTTCGCGCACACCGACTGTGCCTCCTTTGCACAGTAGGAGAGCATAATTATACTTCACCTTACAGTTCCATCTTCAATAAATAGTATCTTTGTCGCTTTCTTGTCCAATGTTCCTTTTCAGCCGCTGCTATGTATTTCTCTTTAACCAAGCTGCTCCTTCTTGGGGCCATCCTTTCTCGAGCCACTGCACAGGATGATGACGATGATGATGATGATGGTGGTGATGATGTTGATAACGGCTTCGGCGCCCTTGACCAGGGCATTGCCCAGCTCGACACTTCGCACCTCTGTGACATGATCTTAAACCAATGTCCTGGCGGATTTTCAGCTTCATTTTGTCCGTCTCTGTCCCTTCCTCGCCCCATCTGACTTACCACCCTCTCGGCTCTCGACAATCTACTGACATGCCGAACCCTTATAAAGTTTGCGTTTCTAACTGGTGCACAAACGGCTGCGCCGACCCCTATATGTAGGTGATTTTCCTAATTTGGGCCCTGGATAAAGTCGCAAGATATATCTTGGGGGAGCAGATTGGCAGAAAGGTCCTTCTTGGGCCCCTTGTCTGTCGCCAAAACCCATGACACTGCTCTTTCCAAATCTATAATCCACGCTGCTGACTCTATACGTGGCACAAGGTGTTGCACCCATCTCCCTTCCGACCAGCAAACTTGTTTCCAAGAATTCCTAGATAAGAATGGCGGGCAAAGCGCTGGGTCAGGCATTAGCAATGGTACTTCCGAAGAAGCTCTCCCACCCGAGTGCTCCTACATCAGCACTCAAATCAACGACTGCGTGTCATCCACCTCGGGCTTCACTACCATGGCGAATTCGGAGCAAGCAAGCTGCATTTGCTTCAACACCGACGGGAGCTGGAACGGAACCGTATGGGACAACGCAGCTACCACGTGTTACCAGGCTATCAGTAGTGCTGGCAGCGCGAATGCGTCTGCGTTGAGCGCTTATGATAGTGGAGTCGTCGGCTTCTGTACCAAGTTCGTCGATGCGGGGATCCTGAGTAGTGCAGGTGTGAGCAGTAGTACGGGCGTGAGCAGTAGTGCGGGCGCGAGCAGCGGTGGTGGGGTGGTTGTGAGTAACGGCCTGTGGTCCTGTGTTACAGTGAAAGCTTGACACAGAAAGCTCATTTCCGAGTAGGCATCGACGGGACAACCTAGTTCAACAACAGGTGGTGGGAGTGGGGCAGTAACTGGATCAAGCGTCTCAAATCCCACACGGAGTTCCACCCAAAAGAGTGAAGTCGGACACTTGAAGAGCCAACGCTCAACGGTGAGATATGATCATCTAAAGATGAGAGCTGATGTCACTGATGACTCGTAGGTCATTGCTGCCCTTGCATTCATCGCTTGCATACTTGGATACTAGGGATCGCCTTTTATCTGGGGGAAAAGATCACGTCCCAAAGCAAGAGGCTTCTTTCTGGGAAACTACCGTTGCAAAGAGCACACTAATCGAACAAGCAAAGGCTGTTGAAAACATATTGATGTCTCCTCAACCAGAAGATAGGGCATGTAATCCCACTAGTCTTGACAGTTTCTCCGAGGTCAATGAGATTAGAGACTCGACAGCTTGCAAATAGTCCCAACGTCTATGGTTCTTGAAGTTCGAGGACACCCGTTGCCTAGGTGGACCGAGAACCTGCTCTTGCTGGTTTGTATGCCATGTGCTAGAGAAACCATCAATGACTACAGTATGAATCGTGAGTCCCGGAAACCCACTGCTCCTTTGGGCCTCGAGATCGAATACAATAAACACACACGTCACCGGCAACCCCATCCTCGAGATACGACTGCGGCAGAGACCGAAGATCTATCTATCTCATCAGGGATCCCTCTTCTTTTCTTCTCCGACATCTCTCTGTCGTCTTTACTTATATCGTTTCACTTCTTTTGTTATCACGATGTCGGGTGATAGCGCAGGGGTAAGAGAGTACCGCAGGGCAGGAAAGTATCAGCAAGGTAAAGTAGTAACCGCAAGTCGAACAATTTTTTCCGATAAGGTAGGTAGGTAGGCTAATTGTGGAAGATGTCACTTGCGCTGAGGGCGGAATCTTTGAGTCCATTTTTTTTTTCAACGGTGCCAATCTGCGCTTTGCACTTTTCATTAAAGAAAGCTATAGCTACCTTAGACGTGGAGGGTTAGTTCATGATCTGAAAGGTCTGCGATCAATTACTCATTGTCCGCTTATAAACGTTGGTAAAAGATACATTTTGCGATTCCCGTGGTGCCCACACCGAAAGTCCTGGACGCCAAAATTTCGGATACGAGTACGAGTAGTGGGGACCTTTGAGTCCGGCGTCACGTCCCTCATCGCCCTGTATTTACCTTGAAGGGTGTTCCATTGTTTTCTGGTGTCCTCTGAATCCGTACCCTATACACGCATCCCTGGCTTAAAGATACGGACCGTTACTTTCCGGAACTACCAGTGATCTCTGGGATAATTTCGGCCTTATATCGCAGTCTCCGTAGCCCGTAGAGGGGAAGTCGCCCCCTGCTCGCGCGGCTGTTTAAGCAGATAGGTTCTCAAACCGCTGCGCCTTCTTTGCCGTCTATCGTGGGGCAAAGTTTTCCTCATCTATTCCAGGATGTTCGCTCATATACCTCTTGAAAACAATCTTGAGGGCTTGTGCTTCCATCATTTATTTCGATCGAAGGGTAAGCGCTCACACGAGGCTTAGCTCTCATCGTCTTGAGGCCTACCGGCCTGATGATGCCATCAGAGGTGGATGGCTCACTCGGTGATCAAACACAGGCTGCCGGAAGAGTCCGCCGTAGCTGAGCTTCATGGACTTGTTGACGGCGTAGACAAGGGAAACACTTCTGCGTCGCTGTGATGTTCGAAGAGTGCTACCCAGGGGCTTTGGCCTCCAGGTCCACGAAGCGTTATTCAACCTCCCGTGAGGACCAAGAGGCCGATGCGATCAATGATGACCTTGTCATCCATCTGCCAATGACAGAATCCAAAATTGTTAATAGTCAAAAGGTAGGGCCCCTATAGACGCCGAGACATTTGCCGCGCTCAAGGTATATCAAAGAACTTAAAGGACTTGTCGACTACTCCCTGCCCGGCTGCCTGCGCCCCTTGCCGCTAATTCCCATGCACTTTACGTGCTCAGCCTCCTAAGCCTTTCCTAAATCCGCAATTCCCATCAATGTAATCATTTGATACTACTCTTCACTCTGTCTCAGAGTGGGATAGGGTTGCAATGGGCTTAGCTCCACTGATCTCTTCGTGGAGTGAAGCGGCTGATAAATCGTCGAGGACGTAAGGTATGAGACTTCTATAAGGATTTATATACCCTATCCCCGATGCCACCTGGTCTGAGAGGCGTAGAAGTGCCACTTTTCTACACAATTACGATTCATAGCATCGTGTATTGACAATCTGGTGACGAAATGCAGTTGAACCCCGTAATTTCAAGTATCTCCGGGCGGAGTGGCGGAAGACACAGAGCGTGGCAGGTGAATTACTAAGACCAGTTGCAGTCATAGCTTTACGGATCCGAAAAGATTCGAAACGAGTAACTAAGAAGAGCGGATACTCTCTGTATCGAAAACTCTGGGTGATTTGAACCTATGTGATGGCCACGGAGATATATTGATATCAGTAAGCTATGTTCTTTTTTGAAGATCGGGCGCTCAAGACGATCGCTTTTTCATACAGCTTGTTTGGCAGTCAATGAATTGACTCGAGCGTGCCGCAGCCTCGCGAAAATCCACATGATGAGACATCGGTCGAGCCTGACACATCACTTTGGCATGGGACTTTTAGTCATTGGTACCCACTTGCAGCCCAGAATAGCTCCAGGGCAGATCGGAAACATCCCAATAAAAGGAACCTGCATCCACACCAGAGTGTTCGTTTGACAGCTGGGATTTTCAGGAGGGACTATTTAGAGTGCAACACTGCCCTTTCCCTCATCGCACAGTCTGACACATAGATCTGTTCCACAACACACCAGACTGTTTGAGTCTGACACGATGGATTGTGTTATCGACAGAGCGGTAATGCGGCACCGCGAGCTCTTCAAGATAGTGTTTAGAGTGTCTCTCAAGTATGTTTCCTTCTCTCCTCTCTCTGTTCTTCCTTAAACCTGAACTCAATCCTCTCTTATCATTAATCTAAAATTGCTTACTCCCGTATCCCGTCAAGTCTAATATGGCTTCGAGTAAACTGGTCGTCGACTACTTCTCGCATCTGGCTTCTCAAGAGTTCTGGAAGCATGCTCCTGTCCATACCATTTTGCCCCGAGATGCTAGTGGAAAACCGGGCTCGCCGTACCCAGCGGGGCAAGTCCCTCATGTCGTTTCAGCCATCAACATATGCCGAGCAATGCTCACACATCGGCCGGTTTGGAAAGCTTTCGAGACCCTCGCCGTCCGATACAGCCAAGTCCGAACACACAGCTGGCCCAAGCAAGGCTCAAGTCCTCTGACCGTGGACCAAGTCACCTATATCTTCCTCGCAAAGATCCTAACTACGTTCCCTATAGTATTTGTGGATTACGGCTTGGAGAACCCAGATGCTAAGGGATTCCACACTAGACGCCCATGGAACGGAACTTTTGAACCCGGTTATCAGCAAATCTCAATCAATGGAAAGGTAAGTGAAACGTTCGTGGGGTGTCATTACATAGATCCTCGAGCAAGCTGACCATATATTAGAGAACTGATCATATGTCGACCGCATTCGGGAAAGCATCCCAAACAAATAACCATCATCCTTTCCAAGCTTTCCTGTTTATGACCGCCAACACTCTCCTCCACGAACTCGGCCATGTTTTCGTCACGTATCTTACCAAGGGCCAGAGCGCAAGTCCGCCCCAAGTCAATGCTCTGACCGAGGGCGTGCAGGGGGGTGAAGGCGAAGCTGGCCTCGCTCTGGAATCTCTGATTTTCGGCGGTACCATAGCCTATTTCCAGGAACCTGTCAGCGGGACTCCGGACGACCAGGTATGTTTCCAAACGGTTGTTCTGGTCGAAGGCCAGCCTTTCAGCATATAGCTTGACGTACACTGCAGTGCGGCACGGCTTTCCTAAAGAAGCCGAGCGGCGCCTGGCATCGAATCCTGCCCAAAACGATCCACGACGTCGCCAGCATGCGTGAGTACCGTTTCGAATGACTTCCTCACACGCGCCTTGTATTACCGTTAACACTTTTTCTCCGCCAGAATTCAAGTTCCCCTACGATCATGACGTGCGTTCTACCGAACCTGGACAACTGAGAGCCTTGGGCCACGGCCTTGCTCCCCCCAGTTATACAGACCCGTTGGAAAGGAGCGAAGCGAGATACTTGCTCGAGCGTCATCTTCCCCTCCTCTGGTCTGCTCTTCATTGTGCCCCGTGCGATTCAACTCTCCGTGCCTCGGTAGCGGGAGGCAAGGAAAGCTAGATGTGAGAGTTTGGAGGTGGGATGGTTTCGTTTGGGCCTTTTGCTAAAACAGCATGCGCAGAGTAGCTTTTGAAAGTCCTTCGTCACACAGCATGCGCGGGGTGGTTTCTCAAGATTCTTTTGTCACACAGCATGTGCGGATGGGGGGTTTTTTTTCCAGATCTATTGTGGAACAGCATGCGCTGAGTCATTTGTCTAGAATTTTTGTCAGGTAGCATGCCAACGCTCGATTAATGATAGCACACGAACCTATCCCGAGTTCGAATACGATGTATGCGTTAATTAGTTCCCTTGAAGGTAAACCAGCCATAGGCCCACTTAAGGCTATATGTACTTCGTTGTAGTAAATGGTTTGCGCGAAGTGCTCCGGCACCTTGGTCGTTCACTTTCTCTTCTACTGGGGAAGCACAGCACCTTTCTCGTTCCGTTCTCCCGACGACGAGGAAAATAGATCATCCCAAAAGCATTAGGTACTCAGATTCTCTGCCACCCGATACTTGACCGCAGACTCGCTCCGGGCACGATGTGGATTTCGCCCGCCCATCCATGCCTTGGAACCATTTCCGCAGACCCGTGCCCCGATGCCTCATAGCGAACGTTGTGCCCCCCCTCTCTCTCAACCGCAACCCACCTTGCGAAGACGTAGCAGGGCCCTGTCCCGCCAGCGTTGAAGCCTCCTGCAAGAAATATCATCCTCGCTCGCTAGAGCATTGCATTCCCTGGGCTGGGAGAATGCCAGTCACTAGCTCGACGGACAACAGTCTTAATTTTTTGTTACCGGCCCTCTTTGGCAATGGTAAGCGCCGGGAACCTTAATAGGGGCTCGATCGACGGGCTTGCGCGATGTTGTTCTTTTTCTGGCTAGGCGGCTCAAGAGCGAGTAGTATGGGTTCATGGTGGCTTGTCAATGCCGTGACTTGGGTTGTATATGGATTAGGTGGGACGAGGGATCCGAATGAGGGATCACGAAGTCGTAGAGTGGTCTATGCAATATTAGATATCTGGCAAGTGGTTGACTGCTCTGGTCGAATCTCTCATCTACATCGGCGAGCTAGATCCGCACGGTCGGTCCTCATCTGCGTCGGCACCGGCGCTACCGGCTCCTGCGTCCACGAAACTCGACATGTAGACTGCAGGTAGGGCGGTCGAGGTGCACGTGACGGTGCTGCCGGCGCTGGACGCGAGATCCTTGATCGGATTGAATACGTTGCAGAGGTACTAAGGATTGATGTGACTGTTTCGAAGATGGTGGTTATGATTGGTGGAGTAAAGGTTCCGTTGATGAATTGGTTTACTACCGTGGGTGAGTAGCGTACTATACGTAGCGTTAAGAAAAAGTATATGAGCGAGAAATCGCGAGGAATCGCGAGAAAATCTTTCCGTTTTAATTTGGTTCTCTTTGGGGCGGGCTGTTCGCGGCTGTTGGGACTCAGCGGCGCGAAGCGAAGTTGACGAGACGAGTCGGATGCGCAGAGGCGAGATGTTGGGTTTGGATGACTGCTCCTACGTGCTGGACAGCATTTTACGACGAAGAGGAGAGGAGGTGGGAGGACTTTGTGATGAAGGGCCGGTGGCGGAATACGTGGTGGGAGGTTTATCGTCGGAACGTGGACGTGGATGTTGTTCTGCGCGGACATTTTCACAGGCTCGTTGTAAGAGCGCCCTTGATGCGGTGGTAGAATTAAACGGATGAAGCTACGATGGTGCAGTTGTGGATGAAGCTCGAGGGACAATGATTGTGCTCGGTCGTGCCAAAAAAAAAAGCAAAAAAAACAAGCACACATGTATTGAGAGAGTCGTGCCTTACACATCAGACACTACATTTTACGAACAGGATGACAACCCAGCCAGACTTCATTTTCAGTCCTTTCCGCCCTGTACTTTGCTCTGCTGGCCTCGACGTTATGATACTGAAAATGTTGAACAGCTCAGAATTTCTATCGATACTTACAACATCATCACTCCTAATGGCTAGAAGTCGGCGACTCAAATCAACAAAGGAGATAGCAATCACTTCCAAGGACGTCCGCGCAAAGTATATGATATACAAAATAGTCGATACTCGATAAGCCCAGAAGTGTTGGTGATAGCGAGCCTTCAAATCAGGGAGCGCACATCAACTCCAAGCCCGCAGCCTCCTTGACCATAGTCTATAGCTAGGCTGGTTCAAAAAGCAGCTGAGGGCATGATCGGCCCAATCCAAGTGCCTTTGGTAATCTACGCCTTGGGCCTTGGAGATATCATCGTGCGTCTGCTAATATGAACGCTCCTGGTGGAATTGCTCACACTCTGCGCCGTTAGGCATCCGAGCACGGACCTGTCTCGCACAATGAGCGTCTTGGGTTCTGAATGGCGAAAATAGGTTCGCCTCGATTCTAAGAGCGGGAAAAAGCAGGGTGCGTGTCTGTTGTTGCTATGAGGTGAGTCTTGCAGAAACTGACTGGAGATCAGTTCTTAGGATTTCGTACTTTATGAGGGTTGTAACGGTTCAGAGTTATATCCGTCTCGAGTAGTAGAGATGTTCAGTAGGATGTGGGATTTTGCGACGAGCGATACATGATCCCTGGTACCGGATGGTATGATCCGTAGCTAGCGAGCAGGAGGATTTCCTCTAAGATCAGGAAATCATGGCCCCAGTCTACCAACGGGGAATGGTTGTCTGCGGAAAGACCCATGTTGGGTAACGTGCTTCCACTGGAAATTTAAGCCAAGGGTCATGCTAGCACAATAACCACTCAATCGCCATCTTACATCACCACACTGCCTTGGCACCATTTTTGCCTGCCTTGGCTATCATCCGTATGTTGTAATGCCATCGTGGCTAGAACTTCTTAACATGTTCTGGATATCTAATGCGCCATACCCTCGATTCGGCCAGCCCATGGAACGCATCGAAAATACAGTCTTTGTGGTAAGTCCCGGGATGATGCCGCGCTGGATATGGCTTACTGGTCTATCGGGCGCGAGGAAGTCTTCGGATATGCTTTATCGGTGTCGCCATTCTCGACAGTCTTACCGACTGGTCAGGAGGTCTGATAGCGTACACAATGTTCCCTCAATCATTGGCAGTCGCATCTATGATTTTCTGCTTCTCTCCTTCGTGCACCGTGGCTTTCTCCTCGTCCTGCAGAGCCACTGTAGGCAGCTCTCCCACGTGACTCCGTCTTGTAAACCAGCCCCAGCCTTCGAGCAGACTACCCACAACCATGACAAAGAGCCGATAGAAGATCAAAGCGGACCATGCACCCGCCTTCCAATAAAGTTTTGGATCCGACATGAGATCATCCGACACCCCGTGGCGGTTGAGGCCAACTGCTAGGACCGTCACCAAGGCCGAGAAACCAAGCGCGGCTACGTGAAGCAAACTTTTCTTCTCGTCTAAATTATCACACGTGGGTGGAAGTTGAAAGCTGACGATCAATGTAAAGAGCAATAGCCCAGCGACAGTCGTGTTCATGTCAAGCGGCCAACTTTCGCCCATACAGGCAGCTACCATTGTAAATACGAGGCAGATAGCGACACGAGAATCTCTGAGTTGCCATGCAAAGCTTGTTCGTGACGTCTTGACGTGTAAGCCGAAGAGCAGATGGTCTCTCTTGGGAGGCTGCCCATTCGTAGCGGGGAGCGCTTGATCTGCCTTTCGGTGGACTAACCGACGGTTAAAGACGACCATGGAGATCAGCGTCGTGTACCACAAGGCAATCATGACGGGATTCGAATGACTGGCCTTCTCCGGCCTGGGCATTATCTGAGTAGAGTTCTTATTCTCCCATTCGTTGTCGTAAAGTCCAAAAGCATCCAGGAAGTTGACGTGGCTGAAAATTCCCACAAGAGAGGCCGCAGCTAACGAGAGTAGCCCAGGCTCAAGTTCTCGAGAGGTGGGTACCGAATTATTTAGATATAGCCAAATTCCTGTGACGATGATTGAAACAACTGCACTTGTAGGCCGCCTTGTGACAGACATCTCATCCTGATACTGATTGCACAGTACATCAAAAAGTGTAACAGAAACCCCCAGTAGAAGCACTCGAAGATCAAGGCGTCTGATATGTGAAGAAGAGTATACCAGGGTCGAATCAATGGCCCAAGTTTTGATAGTTGACATCGAAGGTTCCGCCGAACCTAAATCTACTGTCTGTTCTTTGAGACCTGGTCCACGGTTCCCTTCTTGGCCTACGGTGTCCAAGGGCTTTGAAAGGCCGGCGAGTAGCAAAGGCGCCACAATTGTGCATGCAAGCGGCGTTGCGAAGCTGGAATCCACTTCCGAAAGAGGCGCAAGTACAAGGTAAGCATGCACCAGCATCGTTGCAAGTATCGTGCTCGCGTTCGCCTTCCAAGCGGGGAAGTAGTGTCTTAACGGAACGAACATGAGCTCTGGAGAGTCTCCAACTGGAGTATGGCCAGTAGAGACAAAGGTGAAGGCCATTGTGACGTAGAATGCTGTATTCTTCAATACGTGGCTGCCGATGCCGGCGAAGCTGCCGTTTAGGCCCAACGCGCCACCACTGAAGGAGGCCAGTGCGACACAAGAGACGAAAAAGATCACGAAGCTTCTCGGGCTTATCTGAAACCACTCTTGGTCATTGAGCCAGAATCGTTCGACAAGATCTGAACCTTTCTGCCGCTTTATCCGGAAAGTGGTGGATTCACCTATTGCGTTGTCCTTAACCTGGTCTAGAGCGGGCAACGTAACGGAATCATCCCAAAGGCAACGAGCAGAAGCCTCTTGTGTCAAAGGCCCATATATACCCGCTTCTCTCTGACTGCATGCCGCACAGGAGAAGAGGGTGGCGTGGATAAGGAATCGGCAGGCGACGAAGGTGGTGATGAACTGGAACATGAACCTGGGCAAGGAGAGTTAAAGGTTGCCAAAGCATAGATCTAAGAGGATATACGAACCAAGCCACACCAAAGGTGATCTTCCACCAATTGAATTCAATGCCTGGGAATTCCACGCTGGTAAAGAAGACAAAGCAGAAAGTCCCAATGACTAACACCATGGCGAGCAATCTTTGTAGCGCTTTCCTAGTGTCCATCCGTCGGCCCCTCGTTCGAGCGTAGTTGATGAACAGCAGAATTACAGAGGATGAGAAAGCCGACAGGAAAGCGAAGACCAGACCGAATCCGAGATCGAAGTCAAAAACACGGTAGGTCATTACCGTACCTAGAACGGTGACGGGAACCATCGCACCCTCAAGGCAAAAGGAATCACCGAAGAAGATGCGGAGATTTCTCGACAATTTTGCCGCGTCGTTGTGGTCCGTTGGAGGGGTATGCAGGCAGCTTTCCGATGGTGCTTCATCCGTCTTCGCACATTTCTCGTACTGAGGCAGGAATCCCTCTGATTCGTCCCAATTTTGCCGCAACCGCAGCTGGTAGAAGAGATGCGCCACGCTACACAGTATAGCATAGGTCCCATCAAAAGCCCCATTTTCCTGGGAGATGATGGCCCAGAGGAGGAACAAGGACGTCAAGCATATCCGAATGATTGCAAAAGGCGTCGAGAAAGTACCGCCAAACCCGACAACAAAAACCGCGGAGCCATTGGTGAGAATACTGATGGAGAGCAGAGACGCGTTCTCAAAACCTCCGAGGATCACATATACCGACTCGACGAGTATTGTTGCGTAGGCTCCGAAAGCTGCGACTTGGTAGTTGAGACTCCAGTCAGGGAGTTTGATGGTCATGCCCATGGTGCTGGAATTATGGTGGCACCGTCGGTGCCGTCAAAAGTTCTATCAATACCTTCCACGGACCAAGCATCTTCAGAGAGAAGATGAGAGGAGACCTTTCATCATAGTCCATGTCGTGGGCAGTCGCGCAAGAAGTTTGCTGCGCCTCTTGATGCGGGAATAGTTTGATGTTGGGTTTTGATTGGTCTTCCCGGGGCCATTCATAGCTTCAGCCTTCATTGGCGCCACCGCAGAGCCTCAAAGTTATGAAGACTTGTGGAACAATTACTGTACCATCTGTCAACAAGGATGAATGCTTGGTCGTTCAATATCAAGTACAAATCGGCATCCAGCGGAAGTGCAGGGTTCTTGTCCTAGGGAAAATACCACATTCGTCAAGCTCTCCGACTCCCCCCAGGCTGGGGGTGCCAGTGGTGCCAGCAGCATCAACCCATCCCGTATCCGCGGCTTACTTTTGCCATCGTCGATCGGCTGCTTGTCTTACTCTTTCCCTGGCTTCACCGAGTCCCAGACAGTTCGCCGAGTTCCAGACAGGACATAAAGGCCATGGCATTCCTTGCTCGTGGGCTCCTGCCTCGTTCTGATTTCAAGCCGCCTTGACCGACATTCTTGAAACATTAAATACCCTACACACATCTCGCTACAGACACCTTGAAGCCTCCGCCTATCTCTATCAGTTATCCCTACCACAAAATGCTTCTAATACAAAATCTTTCACTGGGCGCTGCCTTGATGACGGTGGGATTGGCCTCCGCCGTCAGTCCAAGCCTCCCGTCCACCCCGGGCCACCGCTAACCTCCTCCCAGCAATCCAGCTACCCCAACACAACCACCACCCTCAACACCTCCACCTGCTCCCGCCAATCCATCGCCGCGTGCCCTACCCCCTACGACCCCTGCTGCGCCTTCGTCTGCGCCGAAGCCCAGGTCCCCTTCGACGTCTGCTCCCCCAACAACGAGACCTTCCTCGCCTCTTGCTACGCGTGTACCCCGGCCACCGCTACGCCCACCGTCACTACACCGCCCTCGTCTACTGGCGTGTGATGTGTCGGAGGAAACAGCTACTTGCTCGCAGTGTCCGAGGGCGGCGGCCAGGTTGTGAGGAGACGGACGAGGGAGGAGATTTGGGTGGGCATTGGACACAAGGGCAAAATAAGCAAGTCGATGCGGCTTCGAGGAGTGGTTGTTTAGGGTGCTTAGATTAGGAATGATGAATGACTTGAGTCTCGAGTGACTACTCTACGCTTCCACAAACAAGGCTGAAGCACCTATCAACCCCTCGCCCCCCGCCAGTACCTCCACCGCCAGCTGCGCGCTCGCCGTCATGTGCATATCAAGCTGTACCCACTCCCAATCAGAACCGCGCCAAGCCCGCTTCCTGCACCTTGTTGGGTGACTTATGAGTTCCCTACTGGCTGTATGCGAAGTAATGTGAGTGGACCTGTGATGTCTTCACGGTCTATGTTCATGCCTATCAACTGCTTCATTGTGTTTGCAATCTACCTGGACCCCAGTGATATGCTGGAAAAGGACGGGCCTTCGACAAATGTAGGGGAGGATCTGCTAAAGTGCCTTCTCCGACTCTTGTGAGGGAGAAAGGATCATTGCAAAGGAGCTGCCTGGCTTTCCTGGGCTGGTATCTCAAGACATGGCAAGAAGTGCAAGCTTCTGAAGTCGTGCTATTGACGATGACTGCCACCGCCTGGATTGCTCAACTGAAAGCTGGACACGACCCAGCTCATCACTGATATTCCTCAGAGGCGTAATTCTGACTACCGCCTTCACAGTTGCACCTTCTCTCCAGACCCGTCCACAAAGCTCTGTTCTTGAAACTTTTTAAAGTCCTGCTGCATCTTCAAATGACTCGCGATGAACCTGTCCAACCGGCCTCTATCGTAGTATTTCCGCGCTGCTCCCGCCCCGTTCCCAAACGCGTCCAAAATATCAGAGATGTAGTCCGTGATGGCTGCCAGAGTCGCCGTGTCCAGTGCTTCCGTGTCTGCCCTCGCAACAATCACGTTTCCAACCCGACCTTGCCATTCCGCCGGTGCGAACCCCGTGAGGGGATCGATCATCAGCCACGTGGCGTGCTGATTGTCTCCCAGCGGTTCTCCGACGTCCGCATCGCTGCAACGCTGTACGAGCAGCGGGAACCCGATCTTCTGCGATATAGGCACCGGCGAGGTCCTGAACATCAGATCGTCGCGCGGAGTGAGCCACTTCGAGTAGTGCACTCCGCCGTCCACTGAGGAAAAGATCATGACTGTTCTGGCAACAGCATCTTTGGCGGAGGCGGGGTAGGGGTCGACACAGGCGGGCCTGTGGTCCTTCCAGTCCTCTCTCTGACAGAGACTGCTGCAGTAGGTAACGCCGTTGCAGCAGGCGCAGGGCACAGTGAGTTGGTCTGGTCGCGCGGCACAGCCGAGGTTGGAGCATTGCTTCGGCGGGACTTTGGCACTGGGACGGGTCGAGCTCTTGCAGGCGGTCTTGTGTTGCGGCCAGTCTTTCTTTTGACACGTGCCGCTGCAGTATGAGGCTTGTTTGCAGCCGGCACAGCGCTTGGTGCATTGGGTTGTACAGCTGGGATTGGCGCAGGTCTCTGCCATCTCGGGAAAAATCTTGTAGAGGATCTTGTAGAGGATCTTGTAGAGGATCTTGAGTGCTCAATCGTGCTGATCTGATACGACACGCGGTGCAGGTTCGAAAGTCCACCGCGTATTCATTCTACGCTGGCTAAGCCCTTTCGGGTTAGCTCTTTCGCTTACTACGAAACCTTCCGAAGGCTGCTAGCGAACTAATCCAAAGGGGCTAAGCTGAGGGCCGCTAGCTCGAAGGGGCTTAGCGATCTTGGCACGTCTGTTGTTCTAGGCAGACATGAGGTCCCTTCTGACAATGAGGCCTCTAGAAGCAGAACCATGCTTCTTCCTGCAAGATGCGATTCAATGGCCAATGCGCTCCCAGACTTACACGCCGTCATAAATATGTACTCCATGCAAAGTAAAGGCCTTCGTGAAACTTACCCCCTTCCCCAGCAAAATCGCAAAAGTCGTCCCCAACGTCGGTCTTGCCCGCGCTGTCACAAACGTTCCCGCCTGACTCCCAGTCACGTAAAACCGATCAGCAAACGGCACAGTATTCTTCCCGTTTGTAAAGAACGCGTGCTCAAAACCAATGATGGTGTCGACATCGGTTGGGCAGGTAGCCGCAATCCACATGTCCCACATCCCATTGGCGATATCATCCTGTACGCTCGCGTAGGGAATGCCAACGCTCGTGGCTTGCGACATGTACCAGGAGCACTGCATTGAGACTGCGGCGGTCGGGAAGGTGCTCAGATTGAGGTATTGGTCGGGGAAGAGGTTGAAGACCGTGCCCCATGATGTGGACATGCCGTAGTTGTAGGTGAAATGCTGGGGAGTGCCCTTGGTGATCTTGCCGTTGCTATTGAGGTTCGTGCCGAGTCCTTGCGTGTATATCGTGCTGGCGAAGCTCTGAGCTGCCCGTGTGTAAGTTTGGTTGCCTGTCAGCGCTCCGTAGGCTTTCAGGCCTATGGCGGATGTTATGGCCAAGTTTGTTTGCTGGGCCGTTGGGTTGATCGAGTCGACGGTGTCATACTGCAGTGAAGGGTGCAGACCGCTGGTTTTGAGGTAGTCGGCGAATTGCTGGAAGAGCTTTCTGTGCGATTGGGCCCAGGTTTCGTCGCCGGTCAGTTTCTGGTATTGGTATACCATTATCAGAAAACCACCCGTGGCTTCAAGAAGGATTTTCTCGGAAGTAGCGGGGGTACGTCCGGTTGCTACAGGATAGGCTGGAGCTATATGTCAGCGAAGACCACTGGGGGATTCCTTAGATCAGGCTTACTGCCAAGGTCGTGCACCACATAGTCAGCAGTCCATGCTGGGCTCTCGGAGAATATGGCAACCGGTTCAAGCAAATACTTGATCCAATCTGGGCTCATGACACCTAGGATGGTAGAGGTTGGATATACTACGTCGACAGTGTTTACGTCTCCGTTCGTGGATATCTCTTTCAAGAAGACGTATGGATTGCTCGTGTCAGCAGTGTTGCTGGCGGGAAGTGTGATTTCCATGGCGCCATAGCTGAGGGGCAAGTCAGCAGCTCGCTCGGTTCTGACAGAATTGCAGCCTACCATTGCCGTACGGCTGCTGTCGTCAGATCAGTATAATTGCTAGAGATCGAACTCGTCTCGCTATTAATGGCCTTGTCCAAGGTTTGAGAATCCACGTATGCTGGCTGATAATCGTTCAAAAAGGCGTCGACGGTTTCTAGCACATTACGGTACTTTGACTTGAAGAACCCAACTTGGTCATGGCCCAGGTATTTGACCACATTATCTCTGTACTGGCCCACAGCGAATGTGACGGAGGAAGTTGAAGTGGTAGACACCGTGCTGAGCTTCTGAGCAAAAGCAATCCAATTACCTTTCCCATAGGCCGGTAAAGTTCTATCGAGGCTTCCAGACTCGACAAACTTGCTGAATACAGTGTCACCCGGGCCACTCTGATAAGTAACTGATGAGCTGCCGGCTTGGCTGGTCGCAAGAACAGTGGATCCCCAAGCTGCCATATCGTGGACCTCTGTATAGTTCGCAGCTTTGGGGTCAGTCAAACTTATCACAGAGGTAGCCCCTGTGTTCTGATGCTGCAACACGAGGTTACCCGGCTGGCCATACCACGAATCATCAATTGCGCTTAAAACTTGGACATCAGAGCTCCCGACGACTGATATAGTGACATAGCTAAAAGGAAAAGACTGCCGAAGGTGATTATTTGGTGAGACAGGGGAGAAGAAGTCTACGACGATGCTAGCGGCGCCCGCATCTAATTCGGCTATCGTGTGGGTTGCAGTGTAACCGATAGATTTTTGCGTTGCTGTTGTGGTGTTTGTGATGCCATGTGGCGCACCAAAGAGCGTAAATGTTTTGCCATCGACTTGCGCCAGGATAGTCCATCCTAATGTCGTTTGGCTGGTCCAAAATTCGGCTTGGGCTGTGGGCAGATTGCTGACTTGGGAGCCGGGCAGCCAAGCTGTAGAATGTCAGTCTGTCGACGATGCTCTGGACTACGTAGGCTTTCGAAGGATGGTACTGACCTGATAGGTATGGATTCCTTACGGCCTGTTGATGATAAGTATATTGTGGGCCGTCGAATAACGACGGTGACTCACCAGGGGCAATGATGGTGCTTGCGACCCAGAGACGGTGACATCCTGGCGTTAGTCAGTACGGTGTAAAAAAGCCGACATTTGAAGACGGACCAGAGGATAGGGCAAGAAGTTCTCAGGGAGAGCCGATGCAAACGGAAGGCAGCACGCAAAGTACAAACACAGCCGGAGGATCGTTCCTGAATCTGAAGCCATTGTGGGCATGAGCTGTCTAGAATTGGTGAGGCCAGGCCAGAATGCTAGAAGAGTGGGCGTTTGGAATAAGTCAATGTGTGTGGCACAAGTGGTTTAGATGGTGTCCTGACGCTCTAGTCATGTCGGGCTGGACAGCAATGTATCTAAAACTTGCGCGCGAGTCAAACTCGGACGCGAACTGCTTGTACAGTTGTACATTATATATGATTGTACTGTACTTTTATACGAGGACCAACACGAGCTGGTGCGATCTAACTACTCGTATGTAATTAGCGTGTGCATACAACGTTGGAATTCTTAGCGCTCACACCTGTTACTCGTCTTTAGTGTAGAGACTATATTATTGCTTATTATTGCTTAAGGTAGTTTAATAGATGTGTATGCGATTTTCTCAGTGCCAAGAATCTCTCATGACAAACTTTTCATCTCCAACTCACGTTATGACAGCGACAGCCTCTGTCCAAATCTTTTCCTGCAATTTACCCTCACTTCTAATGCCATTGACCGAGCTTTGCTGACTCCGAGATCTTTCTTCCCATGCGGTCCATCTATCTTGCTAGGCTGGAGTAATTTGGAGCGATTTGTTGCCCAAGCAAATGACCTCAATGTGATCATCCTTGCCAGAACCACTCACAACTCGAACATCATAGTTCGGCAGCGGCAGTGCTCTCATCCTTGACCTCTCCTTCCTGCTCGAAAAATGCAGCGGCCAAGTTGTCGCTTATCTCTTCCTCCACCGCGTCGGCAAGAGATCTTGCACCCGTTTCCTCGCGGTACCGTTGAGCGATGTGCTTAGCGATCTCTCCATCATTGACAAAGTTCACAAACATGGTCCCTGCAAACCGCTTGCCGTCGGTATCGATTGGTTTACGGACATCATGCCACTGCTCGCGCATACATTTGTAGGCAGTAATAGCGCGTTCTCCTTTGTAGAAGGGTAAAAAGGGTACGATAGCCGAAAAGCGCCCGGTAAGAGGCGCACCGAATGTCTGGATGATACACTGATTGAGCGTAACCTGCAGGTCTCGGATAGGTGCCAGTTTGTGCTGCTCGTGGTTTCGGTCCTTGAGATTATCCACCCGGAACTTGGTGATTTCTTTAACTCCGAGATTAGCTGCTAAGATCCAGAGCACCTTTGAGCAGTCGATCTTGTTGTTGTTACGCCGATCTGTGTAGCAACCAGACTAGAACAGCAACAGCATAGCCTGGCGTACATCATCTGTCGTTTTGTCAAACTCGTCCAAGAAGGCCACGGTCCTCTTCCCATCCCATTCTGCAAGATGATTATTCAATTGAGTCCCAACTTCCGATCCATAGTACTGGTTTCGTGGTCCAAACATGTCAGTATCGTACTGCATCGTGGTACAATCGACGATGATAAGCTCCAAAGACAGAAGGCCACCCATACGGCGAGCTAGCTCCGTCTTCCCATGGCCGCTGAGACCGGCGAGGGAAAGTACTAGCGGCTTTGGCGAATCGAACAGCAGTCGGCTTGTGATTCACTGCAGGACTTGCGTTGTCGCCAGCTGCTGTCCGAAGATGAAGTAGGGAGTTTCGAAGAGGGGGCATGATCTTGTTTGCTTCAGCGACTTGAATCTCCCTGACTGTTGCCCGCTCTATTTGCGCAGCTTTCCAAAGGGGGTAACGCTGTAAGAGGTTAAAGGTCTTGCATAGCGCTTCCCTGATCTCGGTGGTACACCACGCTTCATGCACGTCAAAGGCCGCCATCTGCTTCGGTTTGTCCTTTGTAGGAGCCTTAAGGTAATCCTGCCACATGTCTTTCGGTACGTCGTATGGACTTGCACCCATAGCAAGCAGAGCAACCACGGTTTCCGTTGTGTCCGCAAGCTTGTATTCGGTGCTTAGAATAGTGTAGGGTAGCAGTGGAAGACCAAAGATCGCGGAGCCGTATAGACTGGTGCTTTGGTTTGGCTTGGCTCCTGCATGACATAGGATGCTGACGATCTCGGGCGACTTCCCCTTGGCGGCAAAGTATAGAACTGGGGATGAGGGCGCTGCCAAGGTCGTCTGCACCGACTGGCACAGTCACTCTGCGATTTCGGATTCATGGTGTTGACTCAAGTAGCGCTCTATGCATTTTCCGCCCACGCCGTGCTGGATAGCCCATGCGAGATTGTACACCGAGAGATCATGAATTTCCTTAATGTGGTCAAGATAGCCGTCATCGCTCTTTGAGTGGCAGCGCTTGTCGCATTGTTCTCGGACAATATTAGGCAGGAAGAATGGAGGAACAGTCGGGCTGTGTTGCGTGTTAGTACGCTGCCAATCAAAACAATAGAGGAGACTTGCCGGGGATCCCCTTGGGACTTCACTGCGAGCGGACCCCATCTGTCTTTCCAATGAGTCGCTTGCTGCTGTACTAGTACGCGCTTGTCTCTTCCTCTTTGGTTTGCGCAGTCTTTGGTTCGCAGTCTGTGCCGCATTCCGGAACGGAGGACTCGGGGCGTGACCAGAAGGACTTTCAGCCATGAAGACCAGCCTCGTGGGAATGGGAGCGATAGGACCTTCTGTGACTGTGGTTAGGACCAAGTATTCCCGTTGGGTTTGCTTTGTTGCCATGATAGATCTTCACGCGTCCTGGCACGCTGTACGCGTCTTGCTGGGAATAAATGATGAGGACGGGATGGCTCACATAGGATAGTAGTCATAAAGCACTTGGGTCTGGTACACCTCTGTTCGCTTTTCTGGTGGTGCGTTGTGGGTTCAGAATGGTGTGTAGGGAAGGGAGCTTTGGCAAGGCAATTTTTGAAATTGTTCGGACATAGGTAGGGACATGGGACGTCATTCCGGAGTGTTGAGAGAACTGGCCCGAAGGTTCTTGATCTGCCAAGAACTTCACACGACTAAAGTCGAGGCTACATCTTCGCTCTTCAACCCGTCATCAGGTGCAATAATGAGCCGTATCTCTATCGTGGATGTCCCTATCTCCAGGGCCTTCGAAAGCCCACCCGTCAATCCTTGGTCCCGCAGCCACCATTAGCTTCAATCCATTCCCTGACCTCTGTTCATCCACGAATCTCACGCATGCGGCATTCGCACCGAGATTCTTGATGCGACATTCTAGCTCCACTCCTTTCTTGACATCGAAGATCTGCACTCTTCCATCATCAGTTGCGGCAGCGACCAGATTGCGATGAAGGTCTAGCCCGATCGAGAGGTGATTCAATGCGTTGTTGCGGTATGCCGGGAATCTATCGTACGGTTGTGTGGCATGAGCGGGGCTGGCTCGCTTGGCATACCGGATATCATAGGTGCAAAGCTATAATGTTAGTCCAATCGTGCGTCAGGGGGAAGGACAACTGCTTACCTCGTTTTGCAGGCCTGCTACTACGATGAAGTTCTCATCGATACTCCTTGTGTGGTTAATCGCGCTGGTGTGTTGAATTCTCGGCTCTGCGCTCTCCGCGCCACTCCTGGTATCCCACAACCTGATTGCCCCTTCTCTACAGCCTTTCAAGACGACATTTGTACCTAACCAATCGACGGCCACTGCTTCATGCTGGCCTTGAATGCACTGGCTTCGTTCTAAAGCCCATTCGTCTTCGTTTTCACGAAGTAGAATGCTACCGCTGGATGCGGCGATTGCAAAGCTGCAGACCCCATGACCAGGATTCGCGGCAGATGCCCAGTAGACGCCCGTTGGGTTGGGCGCCACCATTGAACCAGAAGGGTGATTCCATGAGAACCCGTCTCTAGCGATTGCGTCAAAATGAAGGGGATAGAGAGCTGACGCTAGCTGAGCGCCTTGTGTCGTTGCGCTGTATCATACACCGATTAGCTTGCTGTGGCAGGACGGTGTGACTACCCATGCTTACAGCAATATCCGGGAAGGTGACACGCTCATGGAGGTAACCCAATCACTGATCAGCACCTTCTCACAAGTGATAAGGATGACAACCTACGATCGAGTGCGGGCATACCGCGTCTTTATAAGGCCAATACGTGTGTAACATGGATCGTTTATAGAGAGTGGTGCTATCGACGTGTTAACTCAAACAACTGGGCTTTAGAATCCAAGTCTGAAAAAAAAAGGGAAGATGCTCACACCGAGGAGGTTAACCTATTGTTGTTACGTCTATTTAGGCCGGCAATGATAAATTGTGTAGTCTCATCGTGAATAAGATTTGTATACGAAGCAACATCTGTGTCCTTAGCGTCTGGCCTTGGGACATAATTCCAAAGCTGTCGATCGCCGAGGCCTCTTGCCCACGCATCCAATACCGCGCCATGATTATGTGAGGCCCCGATCTCCCGTAATAGTCCCGCTCTGCCTGCAAGAGGGTGAGTATGCAGCCGCGATCTTTTGATCCCTCCTTTGTTGTATGCCATAATTTACACCATGTAAAGGAAACCGTGGTCTGTGGATTTACTGTGGGCCGGTCCATATTGTCGATGTGCGTGAATCAGAGTCCTTATCGATAAGATTGCCGGCGGCAATCTTTGTGCCATGACGTACCGCGTCTGTTTGTGTTGTGAAGCTATCCGGGAAAAGCCCAATCCACTGTGATCATGTTCGCAGTCTGAGTCTGTCGGTACAGCACTTGAGACCAACATCCCATCTGACAAGCATTGAGAGGAGAGCTTATGGAAATATATCACCGCACTTGGCGTGATACCATCCTGGGGGTTGGTTTTGAGCAGCGTCTCTGGAGAACAAGCGGGAGTCTACAGTACGAAAAAGAGGGTTGTCGATCACTTTGATTGAGACCTACGTCCTGAGCCTCCTCTAGATATATTTATCGGCACCTGCAGAGTGAGGAAACATGCCTTGGAGCCCATGAAAGTTTCTCACAGGGTTTGCAAACGAAGCCTTCCAGCCAGAGCTCCTCTTTTGCTTCATGTCGCATCTCTCAAAGGCTGTCCGCTGCTTACGTCACAGTCTCGTCGTGCTTTCCAATTCATTGTCAGCTTTCGGCCTGATCTGTGCCATTCTTGTGTTCTTTTGAGGCGTACTTTCTCCTTACATTTTGAGACTGAAGCCTAGGCGCATCGAGATAGATACAGAATGAAAAGCAGCAAGGCCTGATGCGCCAAGTCTACAACCCTAACAACAACACACCCTACTGCAGACAGAGCCGAAGGCATGATATTCTTTCAACCGACGATATCAGAGCAGGCAAGAGCACGAGTGAACTGACCTACCTCAAGCGAGCTCGAGGAATGGGATGATGACTATACGCTCACGACGGGAAACCATCCAGAGAAAGATCCTGATGGCCAATAGCCTGCCCATGCTTTCCAACTATCTTTACTTCGCACTGTCTTCCGCTTCTCGCAAGCATTGTCTTGGATACGAAGGTTTCCTGTCACGTTTTCAGTCACTCAGCCCTATGAGCGCCACGGAGAAAATGGGTCAGCACTCAGTCAGCAGTCACAGCTGCACGGGTCCAAGCGCCCGCTCGTAACCGTGCCTCGGTACGAGGAGTGGCTAGGGGCGGAGTGATTAAACATCGCGTTGGGGGCCTCGGAGGGACAGCGATCGACAGCAGCATGGAAAACATCTCGCCGAGGGCCACGTTTAGCGGAAGGACGGACGCCCGGTTCCTCGTATCATCTACTCGTATATGCACTTTACATGGATATGCGATTCTCTGAGGAGTCAGATGAGTGCGGAGGTGGGTTTTGGGGGATACCACCCCAAAGACTCACCCGGAACTCACCCTAAACCTAAGCCCCGGCGAGTTTCCCCTTCCTTTTGTTATAATATCATTTAAAAACGACGAATTATGAAGTTTCGGATTAATCGGATTTTAAACATTGCATGTGCAGGTAGGTACGAGTATCCAGAACTAATCTTTCTTGCCTCGGTCTCTCTTCATTGAGCTGCCTTGGAGGCAGCTGGCTTGATAGGATGCAGGGACTCTAGTTCTCCGTGTTCATTGGATCTGCTATACAGCATGAATTTAGTAATCATTATATGTACCTTTCATTACTGGCTGTGTAACAGCTTATGTCCGAAACTTGTTACAAGTCATGCATGATCGCTGTTCGCTTGAACTAAGCGTTTCGCGTCCGAGATAAGCCGCATGTGTATTTCGCTCGAGAACTCAAGTCATCTATTTAAGGTCTTGCCAATCTCGTTCTCGTCTTCACACATTGCTTTATCTTCATCCTGAGGATTCACTTCGATTTCAAAGCGCAAAAATGACTGCGCCAATTCCGAGTCCTCCGGGACTGCCACTCGTTGGCAATATCTTCGACCTTGACCCTCAGAATCGGTTGCAAAGTCTCATTCATCTAGCTGACATCTATGGTATGTTTTAACCGCATCGAAGGGCGTCTCAGTATAGACACTAATCATCATAGGCCCTATCTATGAATTACGACTCCCAACCGGAAATCTGATCGTGGTGTCTAATCATGAACTTTTCGACGAGATCTGCGACGAGAAACGCTTCACAAAAGTCCTCAGTGGGCCTTTAATTGAGTTGAGGTCGGCAATACACGATGGACTATTCACTGCTCACCCAGGCGAACCCGCTTGGGGAGTCGCACACCGAACGCTAGTTCCATCATTTGGGCCTCTCGCGATTCGAGACATGTTCGATGGTCAGTTCCAAAACAACAAAAGGATCCGGACAACGTTCTCAGGGCTAACTTTCTGGCAGAAATGCATGAAATCCTCACGCAGTTGGTCCTCAAGTGGGCCCGATACGGTCCAGACTATCGAATTGACACGGCCGACGACTTCACTCGGCTGACTTTGGACTCCATCGCAATCTGTGCAATGGATACCAGGTTCAACAGCTTCTATACAGAGGGGGTGCATCCTTTCGTAAAAGCAATGCAAGAAGTCCTACTTGAGGCCGGCAGGCGGTCATTACGACCCTCGTTTGTCAAACGGCTTATGAAGAGTGCGGAAAAAAAGTATGCAGACGATATAGAAGTCCTACAGTCAACTGCCCAGAAGATTGTGGCCGACAAGAGAGCGAATCCGACAGACAAGAAAAGCTTGGTGAATACCATGTTGAATGGCAAAGATCCAAAAACGGGTCAGAAGATGACCAATGAGAGCATTGCCGATAACATGATCACATTTTTGATTGCCGGTACGCTCCTCTAGCTTGACCATCATCGGATGTATGTGCGCTGACAATCAGAAGGGCATGAAACGACTTCAGGCCTTATGTCATTCTTGTTCTTCCAATTGATGGCCAATCCCCAGACCCTTCAGCAAGCACAGAGAGAGGTCGACAAAGTCATTGGTACTGGTCCTGTCAAGGTTGAGCATCTCTCGAAGCTACCGTATATCACTGCCTGCTTGAGGGAAACACTTCGATTAACGCCCACAATTACGGGAACAGTCATGGGACCTCTGCCCGAGACCAAGGAGGATCCCATAATCATTGGGGGCGGCAAGTATCTAGTGAAACCGGGTAGCAAGTTTACCATGATACTGGAAAAGGTCCACAAGGATCCGAAGGTCTACGGAGATGACGCGGACAAGTTCCGTCCCGAGCGTATGTTGGATGAGCATTTCAACAAGTTGCCGAAGAACGCTTGGAAGGTCAGTAATCTTGGAATAGCTGGCGGTGTGGATTCGGCGCTGACTTTCGATCTCTACTAGCCCTTTGGAAATGGTTCAAGAGCGTGCATTGGTCGAGGTTTTGCATGGCAAGAGGCTATGTTAGCCACTGCTATGTTACTCCAATACTTTGACTTCCGTATGGATGATCCTAACTACAAACTCGCAATCAACCAGACACTCACAATCAAGCCAAAGGACCTATTCATGCACGCGACGTTACGGAAAGGCGTTGACCCTTTGCACTTGGAAACGATGATGACCAGCGAGAGCCAGAAAGCTACTCAGGTATCTGATGCGTCGAAGGAAGCTGAAAGCAAAGGATCTGAGAAACCAATGTCGATCTACTTTGGCGGCAACATGGGTACCTGCGAGAGCTTGGCCCACACGGTAGCGCAATCTTCTGTAAATCATGGATTCAAAGCAGTAGTCAAGCCGCTGGACGAGTCTACAGACAATATACCAACGGATCAGCCCGTCATCATCATCACAGCTAGCTACGAAGGGGAGCCTCCTGATAACGCCAACCTCTTTTTCACCTGGCTCAAAAATCTTGATGGCGAGCCATTGAAGGGAGTCCAATACTCTGTTTTCGGATGCGGCAACCGTAAGCGTTCCCTACGTCTCCAAAAATACGTCTGACACTCATGGTCCAGGTGACTGGAAAGACACATTCCAGCGTATACCGACCTCGATAGACACTATGTTGGAAAAGAGAGGCGCAAAGAGACTCTTGGAGCGTGGTTCTGCAGATGTTGCTAACAACGACGTCTTTAACGACTTCGAGAAGTGGGAAGACAAGAACTTCTGGCCGACCATCAAGAAGGCCTTTGGCAGCGAAGATGCGACCGACGACACGGCTGGCCTAGATATCGAAGTCTCTACTACGCTAAGATCCTCTCATCTACGTCAAGACGTCAAGGAAGCTATTGTCGTGAAGAATGAGCTTCTTGGATCTGGGACGGAAGCGCCAAAGCGACACATCGAATTGAAGCTTCCGACAGACATGACATACCGAGCTGGAGATTACCTTGCAGTCCTTCCGATCAACCACACGTCAGTAGTCCGACGAGTGATCTCGCGCTTCCGCCTCCCTTGGGATGCCTTTGTCACGGTCAAGTCCGGGGAATCTTATCTGCCTGTTGGCCAGCCAATGTCCGTATTTGACGTGCTCAGCGCATATGTGGAGCTCAGCCAAACGGCGACACGAAGAGTGGGTCGTCTACTCAGTCCGCGCTCTCATCCTGCTAATCCTGATTCTAGAACATTGAGGCAATACTCAAATTTACCGCTGACCAATCAACTAAGGCGGAACTTGAACGACTGAAGGGTGACGCATTCAATGCCGAGATTACAGCGAAACGAGTCAGCCCATTAGACCTACTAGAGCGATGTCCGAAAGCCGACATACCCTTCGGCGCATTCCTCACAATGCTCCCGCAGCTGCGGCTTCGTCAGTACTCAATCTCATCCTCTCCCCTCGCTGAAGTTGGATCCTGCACTCTCACATGGGGTGTCCTCGATGTAGAGTCCTTCCAAGGCGACGGCAAACGATTTCTCGGTGTCGCATCCAACTACCTCTCGAACTTGCATGAAGGCGACCACATCCACGTCAACGTCAAGCAGAGCCATCAGTCTTTCCATCTTCCCCCCAACATCACTGAGACCCCATTGATCATGATCTGTGCCGGTACCGGTATTGCGCCCTTCCGAGGCTTCATTCAAGAGCGCGCTTTGCAAATTGAAGCTGGCCGGAAACTCGCACCAGCGCTACTGTTCGTCGGGTGCCAGAAACCGGGCCAAGATGATCTTCATGCAGACGAGCTCTTATCTTGGGCATCGAAAGGGGCAGTGGATGTCCGCTACGCCTACTCCCGCGATCCGAAGAGCAGCCAAGGGGCGAAGTACGTGCAAGATCGCTTCTGGGCTGATAGAGAGGATGTACTGCACTACTTCGGATCGGGGGCCAAAGTGTTCATGTGTGGCAGTGGCAAGGTTGCCGACGGGGTGAAGGCTGCGTCGGTGAAGATGTACATGCAAGCAAACGAAGAGGAGGGTACGCCGAAGACGGAGGAGGAGGCGGAGAAATGGTTTCATGCGATGAGGAATGAGAGGTTTATGTCTGATGTCTTTGACTGATCACGGTATCAATAGGTGTTTGCGATCCCATTTCTTTCTCCTAAATGCGCTCAGAGAAGTCATCAGCGGTCTGGATTACTTGGTTCTTCAGAACTCCAAAGTCACGAGGCATGAGGCCGAGAACAGTGCCAAATCATGTTTAGAAGCAATCCAGCCAAATTGTTTCAGCGGTGAGAACCCGCGTCTTCTGTGCTGACTTCTTTGAGCTCCCGCGGACTCGAACCACCACCACCTTCTCTAGCAGCGTCTCCACGCCTCGCCACCACCTTTTCCTGCGTTCTATGCGAACACGACCTCAAGGCTGGTGCAACCTGAAGATTATCGTGCTGAAACATCCACAAGTCTCCCTATGCCTTCAGCCTTCATTCCGCCCAGACCTCCGCCGCATTCTGCTAAATTATCTCTTCGACATTGGTCTTGTGCTTTATCTCGTACTTTTATGCTTCTTGCATCACGCTAGAAAACAGAAATCTGCACCCTATAACGTCACTGCATGGACTAAGCCACGAAATGCAATTATGCGTGCGGCGCAATGCCTTGCCAAGACCTACTCCGTCGTACTCAGTGTTATACTCGTGCTCCTTTTTTTTTGGCGACAGCTACCCTCTTCTTGAGGGTGTGCAGCCGAAGTCGTTGCCTGTTGTTTTGTGCCTTTTGATCATGGTTTCTTGCAGTCTAGGGTAGCAAGCCGCACGCCTAGCTACATGAGCTGCTGAAACTGACTCGGAATGCTATGTCCTGTACCGAGCACATGTTCTTGTTGCCATCCACACTCTGTTGATCCATCAGCATGACTTGAAAGTAGATTACTTATATAAACACCGTTTTCCCTACCATGAAATGAGACAGCACACTACTTCCTATCTCGCTCTACCTCTCTTCATCAACATTTTTCACATACAAGTACCGACTTGCTTCTCCCTGCCGCCTACAACGAATACCATACCTTGGACTTCCAAAGCCATGCATCACTTCCCCATTGCCAGCTTAAGCGTGCTCGCTCTCATCTCACCCGTCCTCGTCTCTTCGAATGCGCCGCCGCAAGCTCCCCCACCCCAGCAACGAACCACACTGCGCCCTATCAACATCCTCGACTACGAGGCTTCCGTGGGACTCCAGCGCCGCGATTCCACCGATCTGTCCGTTTTGGTCCCCCAGAATCACTCGGAGCTCGTGTACGGAAGCCCGGCAGGTGAGTCCTGATGCCTCGCTGTACTGTGGGTATGCGGCTGATCAGCACCAGATGATGGCCGGTTTCTCCTCGCTAACATGACGCTTCATGCCCCGGACGGTCTGCCGATCGTCTTGCTTGAGCGCTTCGAGGAGCTGGATGTCGAGGTGGACTGTCGGGATGATGAGGGCGTATTGTCTTTGATGTTCGGTTCGAGCGATGCGTTTGAGTATGCTAGAGAGGAATGGGGTTATGTCAATAAGGCGGATGATGGGAAGTTTTTGCTCATTGCGAATAAAGATGGGTGTGGGCCTGGTGGTCAGAGGCAGCCTTATGTGTCAGTACTCTCATGGTTCTAAATTTTCCTTGTATCTTTGGTTGATACTTACCTGGTCGAAAGCATCTCCAACATCACGGACGACACTGCGACGCTCAATCTATCTCTGGCTGCTCAAGCAGTCCCCTGGTCCGACGTTGGTGGCTCGTACGAGCTCGATTTTGGCCATGCGATTCCAATCCGACAGCCTCAGCAACTCCAAGGCCGGAGTTGGTGGGATAACGCTAAGAATGCTGGAAACGACGCCCTCAACACTACCGAAGGAAACCTTGACGAGACCAAGAATGCTAGCTTTGCATTATCTGCGGGACAGCAAAATAAGCGAACGACTATCTACACTGATCCCGGGTAAGTACTTTGGCCAAGTCGTTGACCCTGGGCGCTTTGATAACGTGGATATAGGGCTGACTTGACCATTGATTGTACCAACTGCTTCATGATTGGGAGCCTCGAAGTCATGGGTCATCTCTCGGTACTTTACCCCTTCTTACTAGAAACCTCCCCTAACGCGCTTCAAGGTTCTTGATTTCAATCTTCGAGACCTCATCCTTATTGCGTCCCCCAACTCCGTTCTCGCAACCCTCGAGTTCGAAGCAAGTATAACATCCGATTATGAACCAACTTCGCTAAATTTCACCAAAGAGCTTCCTAGTATCCCGATTCCCGATTTAGGGTTCTCAATTCCCGGAATAATGACAATAGGTCCCAGCCTGACCTATACCGTCGGCGCGAGTGGCTCGTTCGGCGGTTCTGCAACGGTCGAATTCGGACTTCAAGCTACTGTTCCAGATAGCGCGCAGATTGTTGCAGACTATAGCAACTCTGGGGCGAGTACAGCGACAAACTTCAGTGGAGGCCAGCTGACACCAAAGTTTGACATCAAAAACGGATCGGCATCTGTGACTTTGAGCGCCTTTTCCCAGCTGGGGATCAATTTCGGAGTCGACTTGCTCAAACTTGGTGCCGTGACTGTCACAGTGACGGTCAAGTTGCCGGAGATTAGTACGACGCTGACTGCAAATTATGGTAAGTATCTACCCTTTCCCATCGCATGGACAGAAACCAAATCGACTAATCGGTGCAGACAAACTGGGCGCCTGCAGTCAAGGTGTCGGGGCTTCCAAGACAGGGATCGAAATTGACAGCAGGGTCAGTATTGAAGTTGACTTGGATATGGACGCAAAGTTGCTGGACAAGGGGCCTTCTTGGTCGAAGACCCTGTTTAGCGACTCGAAGCACCTCTATTCGCACTGCTATCCGCTCAACATCCCTGAACTTCTGCCGGAACAGAACGTAACAAGGGTACCAACGTTGCCTTCGGCACCATCAGTATCAGCATTTTCATCCGGGGTCCCAGCACCTGCATCCCCCACCTGGGAGCTAGAACGCAGATGGGCAATTCTGCCACCAGGAGACAGATGGGCACTCAGTTCAGCATGGGTACCTTCGCTACCAACAGGCTATCCGTCAAGATCCGGTCTACAAACCAATTCATCCTCCTCTAGTGGAAGGCCCGGTTCGGGTAGTTCATCAAATAATGGGATGACATCGACCACGTCAACAACAGAACCGACATCGACACTCACGACGTCTCTCACAACTTCAATCTCGGAGTCATTACCAATCACCCCTTCGACCACCTCAACAATAAACCCGACGTTGACACTCACTACGTCTCTCACAACCTCAAGCTCGGAGCCATCGTCAATCCTGCCTTCGACCACGCCAAAAACACGGCCGGTGTCGACACTCGCCACATCTGTCACATCTTCGAGCACGAAGTCATCATCAATTGCACATTCGACCTTCTCAACAGGAGAATCGATGTCGACATTTGCGACGTTCTCCACATCTTCAAGCACAGATTCATCAATGTTACCTTCGACCACCTCAACAACAAAACCGACCTTGACACCCGGTACTAGTACGTCTTCCACATCTTCGAAGGTCGGACTATCATCAATTCTGTCTCCATCCACGCCAGAAAGCTCCACGATGACATCGACACTCGTTACATCTTCTACATCTTCAGAAAGCGAGTCACCATCAACGCTTATTTCGTCTACTTCGTCGAGCACGTCTCTGAATTCGTTAGCAACTGGTTCATCATCAATCCTACCTTCGGTCACCCCATCATTGAGCGCACAAAAACCTTCACATAGCACCGAAGCCGACGCAGCTGGTAATAGTCCCGAGGTGACTCCAACTACACTAACCCCTTCCAAATCAGCCTCAAAAGAGCACTTGAAGGTCCCAGTTCCCGCCTCAACTTCCGCATCACCGTCGCTGCTGCCAGATCCTGGGGCCAAGACTGCTGTCAATCAACCAAAGGTCACTTACACCCCAGCGGAGCCTTCTCCCAGGATACCAGCAATTTTGCCTGCTCCAAAGCCAGATGCTACCTCGTCGCCAAAGCTCGCCAAAGGAGCAGACAAGTCATCGTCCAACTCTCAAGGGCACCATAAGAAGCATCACCATTCGCGCTGAAACCAATAAATACCACAGCCCATAATTGAGGGATCAATCATCAGGACTAAGGAGTTGCTCATCATAGAGGAGGGGGAGATGGGAATCGTGAAGCGGTTGGCGATATGAATGCTTGTTTGTTGACGAGTGCGACGGCGTGGATTACCTAAATGTCTTTCTTTAGTCTCGGGCGTTGGAGTCGGACTGTTCCACACGTATGATAGTATGGGTCCCAGAGTATCTTTGAGCAACGAATACATCCTTTCATAACTTGGACTGGTCTCTCAATGAGAACTCAACGTATCTTGGTACTCAGTCACCAAGTGCTTCCGAGGTTCCGAGGCTGCGTCATGGAGATAGTAAAGGCATTCTCAACAGGGTGAGACCTAGGTTGTAACGCAAAAATTCCTCGAACCCTGATAATCCGTACTTTTAGAACCTGCAAACAGGTCATGGTATATTTTGGAAATGATGAGGCCAAGGTCGCAGGAACTTGGACCAGTACTATTGTAATGTAGTGTAAGTCAGATAATGGCAACATTGCCAGAAGAAGATCCTAAGCCATTGGCCATTTCTCGCCGCATGCAGCTTCAAAAGGCTAGCGTCCCGTTCCCAAAACCAATACGTGGCCTCACGTCATCATTATTTACCTCATCTCTCAATTGTTCATCTGTTTCAATCAACACACATCCTTTGATTAGATCATTTTGTCCTGGCAGCGAAAACTGTTGGAATTCAGCACTTCAGCCCTATCGTGCTTGGCATGTATAATAAGCCGTCATCAATATTCCATCAATGACAGCCAATGCTGCCGCCGGTAATGCCAACCACGGGTTCCAGTCGTCGAGAGGACAGTGATGGTAACGAGCTGGCTGTTTTTCCTGGTAGAAACCTATCAGATGAAGAGGCCCGAAACGGAGTGTATCAGGAATCGAGTGTGTACGCTAGTGTCCAGCATCAGGTTCAACGCGAGCAACACGATTCGCCGAACGAAATCAGTCCAGATGGAAGTGCTCGTCTCTGGGAAGACCTGAAGACTGAGACAGGTTACGCCTCATATGCTGCTTATTTAGAAGCTTACGAGGAAAGACATCCGGATTTGAAGTGGTTGAAAAAACAAGTGCAAGGTTACAACTGGACAGGAAGTAGGAAACGGTACCCGACTTGCGTCATTTTCAATCTATCTGATGGAATCCAGTCCCGTACTAGAATGAGTTTGCATTGCAGCAATTCATCTGCGTCAGTAATCCTTTCAGCTCTACGTCAACCGCCAGATACAGCAGCCGCTCGTATTGTGCTGTGTGAAGCTTCTCAACTCGATGGAGAAATGGTGAATGCACTTGGACTAGGATTAAGGATCCAACCGGGCTTTTTCCAAGCTTATTTCTCCAGATACGAATCTTTGCAACCGCCAGAAGATCTAGTGGCATAAATTGAGGACCGAAGGCTTGCACCCGAGCATGTCATTATAGGCCAGTATGTCGTGACCATAGCCCGTCATTATCTCCCAGCAAATCCGGATGCCACACCCCTTATCTTGATCCTTGGCAATGTGAGGGACCCCTTTTCCATCGGAAAAAGGTTCGATGAAGTGAAACCCTTTCAGAATCCGGCCGTGGGACGCATCTCCAATGCTATGGAGAAATTACCAACATGGATGCAGGAGTATGTTCGTGTTCTACAGTCTGATCTTGAAAAGGGGAGAGGATCAAAGGAAAATATTACGGACCTGTCATTCAGGTCGCTGGCTCCATTGCTGCGTTGGAGTACCTTTAGAACACGCGAAAAATGTTGCTTGGTTCGAGAAGGGTACTCCAAGTTTGTTACTCCCCGGAAGAGTCTAGTGCGCTGGCAAGGAAACGAAACAACACTGGAAGGTTTGTTCCATATGCGGCTTGATCTACGGCGAATGATTGAAGACTCAGAGGACGGTTTCGAGCAGTTCCGAAGATTCACGCGTTCGCAACAAATAAATGATGTACCGCAAACCAAATCATCTGCGATGGTGGAGGATGAGATCCAGCAAACCCATCTCGAAGCACATCGCTTGGAGATCGAGATCCGTAACTTTCTGCAACTCCAGATTGGAGAATTGGCATTACAGGAGTCTAGAAGGTCTATTGAGCTTTCCAATCTCCAAATTGAGGAGGGAAAACGAGGTCAGTGCAAATTCTCGGAACGGTGGGATGACTGGCTAATGATTGTAGTGAGAATCTGTAAGAGTCACATCCAAGGTCGAGTCTACGGCACACTGATACAATACCCCTCTTAGTCACCATACTCGCTTTCGTCTATGTTCCTCTTAATCTTGCAACCTCAATCTTTGGCATGAATCTTCAGCAGCTCAATGGAAGCGGACAACACCTTTCTCTGTTTATCACCACCGCGGCGGTCACACTAGCTGTTACAGGAGGCTCGTGGTTCGTGATCGAACAAGTAAATAGCTATCTCAAGTGGCGAAAAAGAACCCTTGACGAGCCTTATGACGGAAAAACGCAGTTCACACTGGCGGTGCGGGTTGCATTACTCACTTGGCTTGTTTCAAACGGGCATACGTCTTGGATGTTCAGATCTGGGGCTTGGTGGCGTATATTACTTAACCACAGGTCTCGTTTAGCCAGTCCTATGGTTGCACATGGAATCATTGGACGTTTGCATGCTGGTGAATACGTGTCGAAGTATGGTAAAGTGGTGGAGGAGCTGAGAAGCGAAGATGAAAGACCATGACTCTTTTGAATGTGCACCTCGTCGGCGAATACGCTCAAAATCGCCTGATGTCTGATATTGCTCTAGAAACTAAGTCTAAATGGTGGAGACGTGACTAGGCCATAATGGGCTTACACAGAATTGCATGAGCTGATCCATCTGTTTAAGGTGACAGTGTATGGAGCGCACCGGTCGCGCATGTTCTCGTTCCGTCGTGATATCTACGTTAATTCATACTTGGTCAACACGAGACAACATGGGGACCAACCCACAACAAGAAAGTTTGCAATTTCTTACAGAACACCGCAGCCGATGTGTCCTGTCTTTACTGTGCAAACGCTAAGAAGTCGTGATGAAAGCTGTGGCAATTCTTTCCGAAGAAAGTATTTGATCTACGGCTGCTGGCCTTCATTCGACTCAAATACAGTACTTATACCGCGGTTGTTTTCTTCCAGACAGATAGATTGACTCTCTGTCCTTCGCATCAAAGATCTCTAACCGCGCGCAAACATCATATCCTCATACCTGAAACATATCGCTATCTAAATTAGTCGCAATCATTTCACGCAACACATCCCTCGCCAAACACACAATCAAACTACGAACAGTCGTTTCCATCATTTCTTCATCAACAACAATATCTCCCCAAAGAGCAAAACCATCGCACCACCAAATCGTCTCACTCATCCGCGCGTTCCTCTCCCCCGCTTCCCCTTCCCCTCCTTCCCTCTTCTCACCCCCCTCACCCCGCCTCGACAAACTCGCTCAACAGCGGGAAAAATGCCGCCAGCAGCGTCTGCACCAGCGCGTCGTTGCTCCCGACCCCGACCCCCACTCCCGGCACCGTCACCGCGTTGACCCCGCCGTCCGCTTTCGCCACGTCGATCAGGATCTCGAGGACTTCGATCGCTTTGGTCGCGTTGGCGACGAGCGCGGCGGGGTCGTAGGTGGGGGCCGCGAGGGGGGGGATGGTGGGGGAGAGGGTCAGGGTGGGGATTAGGGCGGTGGGGATTGTGATTGTGGGAAGGGTGGGGGTGCTGAGAGTTGGGATTGCTGATGAAACGTTTAGGCCCGGAAGACTTATTGACGGAAAGCTTGGCGCCGGATATGTGGGGAACGACCCGACGCTTAAGGTGTTATTCGCCGGAAATGGGGCCGACCTGTTGACGCCCGCGGGTCCGGGAATTCTAGCCCAGGGGGTGCTTGGTGACGGGAGTCCCTCGGGCTCAAGGGTCGGGACGGGGATGGCGACTGGAATTGGAGTAAAGGTCGGAGCGCTGCCGTTGAAGCCTTTGAAGGGAAACGGAGTTGGGAGCGAAAAGCCTAATGATGGTATGCCGTTCGAAGGGATGCTGAAAGATGGAAGCCCAATGGTGGGCTGGGAGATGTTAAGGCTGGGAGACGGAATAGTCAGGGATGGAACCGCCACAGATGGAACAGTGAATAAGGGAACACCCAAGTACGGCAAGCCAATAGTGGGTTCCGAGATACCAAGACCAGGAAACGGACTCGTCACGGATGATGCACCTATCGCAGGTAAACTCGTCGACGTGACGCTCTCCACCTTATTTGTGGGAATATCGAAGATCGGAAACCCGTTGGGTGTCGCGGGAAATGTGATTAGTGGAAGACCAAAGGAATCGACGGCCGATGGAGGCGTAGGCATCGAGTCCATGATGGGAACTGGGATGGAGAATGGCGGGGCACCGGTCATTGCGGGCAAGGGCAAACTGGGCGGTGGGAGGATTGAATTGGGATTGGTCACCGAAAGAAGACCAAACGAGACCGAGCTGACAGAAGGAAAGCCAAGCGAACCAAGACTGACTGAAGGCACGGAAATCGACGTTAGAGTCGGCACCGAGACCCCGACATCTTCGATACTGCTTGACACGAGCTCGGGAGGCTTCCCCGAACCAGTTGGGATACCAGAATCACGGGCAAGGGCCTGCAATACTGATTGAATGGATGCGGTCAGGCTTGACGGGTGGCCGGCGGGGACGGTGACGGGAGTGGAGCCGGAGACCGGGACGGTGAATGAGGGTAGCAGGATAGGGTTCGCTGAGATGAGGGAGGCGAGTAGGAAAGAAGGGAGGATGTTGGAGAGATGCATGGCTTTGGCTGCTGATGGAATCTTTTCCTTTTCCTTTTTCTTTTTAAGAAGGGAGAGGTTGTCTTGATGGCAAAGGATACCGACCGACAGAGGAGGAAGAAAAGGGGCGAGCTCGAGGTAAATGAAGGTTATGCTCCTAACATTCCATTAGGCAGAATGTGAGACATTGGGAACGCCAAGAATGCAAGAACCGCCATGGCGGTCTCTCCATGCGCACAGGACTTCCCGGGTCCATGCACGCTGTGGAGGAATGGTTGGGATTTGGTCTTTTTCGGCAGCATTCGCGGCCTGTGATACAGCTATTCACAGGAGTAGGGATGGCCCCGCTAAAGCAGAATAGCGCAGGCCTGCATGGCCGATTTGAGATGTGTGATGCGTATCGTGACCAATTGTTGTGCAATGCTGATGATTGAGATGAGGGACAGGAATTTTGGTACACACTTCCATACATAGCTGTACAAGAGCGGTACCCGCCAGAAGTCGAAGCCTACTCGGTCATCGGGCCATCTTAGCCTTCTCGCTCTCATAGGCCTCATCAATCTCTTCAGACCAAACCCACTTCATCCGATCTTTCAACCTGTCTCTCACCTTGGGTAGACAAGCGTCGTAGTCCACACCTTTCAACCCTTCTGCCTGCATCTCGTAGACATCGCCCGCTTCTCTGGCTGTTCGCTGCGCTTTCTGTGCTCGTGGGAGTCGGACGTCTTGGTAGAGATTGGCCCACTTTTGCACGTCACCTCGTGAGCTGAGGCAGTCGTGCAGGGCGCGGCCGAGGATGTAGCCATCTTCGATTGCTTGGCCGGCTCCGGCTCCTGAATGCACTTTAGCCGCGAGGCCCAAGCCTGACGGTCGAGCTTACCTTGATGTGGTAACATGGCGTGAGCCGCATCTCCCATCAACACAACCTTGCCACTAGCCCAAACCCATTGCTCCAACGGTTCTCGGTCGTTCAGAATCCATTTCGAGGGCTTCCCATCCATACATCCGATCACCCTCCTCACCGTCTCTTCAAAGTCCTCAAAATCTCTCGCGAGCTGACTTCTCTCCCCAGTCGAAGTCCAGCTTTCTCTCAGTCCGCCCAGCTTTTCTTCAGGTGTTGATACGAAAGCAACGATATTTAGGGTTCGGTTCTGGCTGATGGGAAAGACGAAAAAATGCTTGTCCTTGCACAGCCAGCTGACGGAGTACGTCTGAAAGGGCCACCACGCTTCAATCTTGGAAGTCGGCACCAAGCCTCGATAGGCTATCCTGCCGCTATAGGTGGGATTCTCGGGTGCGAATTGCGCGCGGAGGCTCGAGTGGATGCCATCGCACCCCACGACGAGATTGGCTGTTGCGGTTGTGCCGTCTTGGAAATGTATGCGCGCGACCTCGCCTTCTTCCTACAATGTTCAGCTCTCCGCCGCTTGACGGATGGGCCGATACTGACTTCGACTTTTCTACATATCTTCTTCGTATGTAACGTCGCCGCCCCCCTCTCCCTCACCGCATTAAGCAACACTTCGAGAAACTCGGCCCGGTGCACAGGCAGCTGCCTGATCTTCTGCTGATCATTGGACGGCGACGGCACAGTCACAATGTCGCCTCCGTTATCATATCTGCGGAAAGAGATCCACACTCCCTTTCGGTCTCCCGCGATGTTGTTCATGGCATCTCCTAAACCAATTCGGTGCAGGAGTTTGGCTGCATTGACGCCGATGCCGACACCTGCGCCAATTTCTGAGTACTGGGATGCTTGCTCGTATACATCAATGGCTATGTTGTCATTTTTACAGTGATGGTCAAGGGAGAGGGCAGCGAAGAGACCGCCGATGCCGCCGCCAATGATGGCGATACGGAAGAGGTCTTCTGACTTGGATCCCATTGTCTACTCGTTCGTATCTTTCTAGGGGCTCCTCTTACTGTTTCCTGGACATCTTGCGTTACTTGAATCTTGAAGATGTCGTCGATGGTTGGCAGGATTGGGAGATTCGTATTCGTGATGAACCCGAAGCTATAAGCCGGTAAATTCGCCGCAACCCAGTTACCGAGATCTACCAGAAACGCACGTGGAGAAATGCAGAATAAGTGGAGTCTCAGCCCGCCTGCACGAGATGATAAGATTAAGCGAGGCGTGAGTTGGTGACGCTTAGGCGTTCCCACTTCCCACCAGCAGCTTGTCAATTTACAACAGTAGTCGCCTACTGTACGGTTTGTTGCTCTGGCCGCTATCTTTACCCGTGTCTCTTTTTAAAACTTCAAGATCTTCTATTTTTTTGTTCTTCGTTCTTCTACAAAACACCGTTTAGTTTTCTTGTGTCTTTCTTTTGCGACTTGACATTATTCTTTCTTTACAATAATCAAAGCCGAGACTGTAGATACTAATCCCTGCGCCATCATGGCGTTTGGCCATTCTCGAAAAGATGTCGAAATTAGCAGCATTGATAGCGAGAGCAAGCATGTCCACTCCAAATCATCGCAAGCAGCAGAAGTCAAGCTCGATAAAAGAGGCATGCCATTGGTGCCTCAGCCCACTTCCGACCCTCTAGACCCATTAAATTGGAGTTTGTGGCTCAAAATTCTGGTACTGTTGCAAGTGTCGCTGCTGGCATTCCTTGCTCTTTTCAGCGCTTCTTTAATTGTGAGTACTCACTTAGAATCAGCAGTGCAGCATGGATTCGAAGCTGACTCGAGCAATGCCAGACACCCGCCTTCGTCCCCCTCTCCGCATCCCTCCACAGAGACCTAACCGAAACGGCCTACGTAACCAGCGTTTTTATTGCCTTCGTGGGCGCCTCATCCCTCTTCTGGAACCCAATCGCCAACGTTTACGGCCGGCGTCCCATCTACATCATCAGCATCTCGGTCGCCATTGCAACCTCGGCTGCCTCCGGCGCATCCCGCACGTACGGCGAGCTGATCGCTTTTCGCGCCTTGAATGGATTCTTTGGCGGCGTTGCGCTCGGCTTGGGGAGTGCAACCGTCACGGATCTGTTCTTTGAACATCAAAGAGGCTTCTATATGGGAATCTATACACTGTCGCTGATTACGGGTGGGCATATCGCGCCCATTGCTGGAGGCTACATTGTCAAAAACACCCTTACGTGGCATTGGTGTTTCTACATTCCTGCAATCATTACGGCATTCATGTTGCCTCTCTTCATCCTTACGGTCCCGGAGACTTTATACTCGCACTCCGCCGAACGCGCCCAAAGACCCTACGGATCATGGATGGAGAATATGACCATGCGCGGAAGAGCCCATTCGACACGGTCTCTCAAACTCATCGACTTCTTCCGCCCAATCCAGATGCTCATGTACCCAAGCGTCCTGCTCCCGACGCTTTATTACTCCGTCTCCTTCGGCTACGGCAGCATCTTGTTCATTATCACCTCGGCCAACATATTCTTGAAGGTCTACAAATACAAGCCTTACCAAACAGGCGTGCTACTGGGTGTTCCGTTGACGGTGGGCAGTGTTGTTGGAGAGTTGGTGGCTGGTGGGCTGTCGGATTGGATCAGTGAGAAGCGCGCCTTGGCTCGGAGCGGAGTCAGGAAGCCTGAGGACAGGCTGTTGGCGCTATTTCCAGCTATTGTGCTCTTACCGTTGGGCATCATTATCGAGGGTGTTTGCTTGACGCATAAGTTGCATGCGACTGGTACGGGCTTTGGGATTGCGATTGCGAGTTTGGGGCTGCAGATTGCGACGACCGTTGTGTATACTTATACCGCCGAGGTGAGCCCTTTCTCATTTTCTGTTTCATTTACCTTCTGCGATGTGGTGCTGACAATCATTACAGTGCTACAGACAGCAAGCAGCAGAGATCGGCTCATTGCTTAATTTTGGCCGTCAGATCTTTGGTTTCGGCGTCGGATTTTACGCAGTCAAGCTAGGCACCAAGGTTGGCTTCCAAAACGCCTGGATCACGTTTGCGTTTATCAATTTCGCGGTGTCGCTACCTGTGCTTGCATTAATACTCGTGGGCGAAAAGTGGCGGAATGCGATGGGGCAGCCCGGATTTCACCGCGATTTGTGATAAGGATATGTATGTATTTTTCTCTGGCTTGCTTTGTACTGTTACACAGGAGTCTATAGAGCGCATTTGAAGCCCTCAGGGGTCCGTTCACCTTTCTACATGGACACAATCAGAAAAGGGGCAAGGCGTTCTATCCGGACGGCATGTCCTGCCTGTGCGTTGGTGGCTTAGCGCTATGATGTCCTGCTGGAGCTACGAGTGCAAGGGGTATCCTGGCATTCTAGCTATATCCTAGAACTTGGGGTAGATGGGCGGGTCGCCAATAAGAAGGTGGAAATAAAGAATTGGAGACATGCAATGACGTAGAGTGGTGTCAGAGGGACAATTTGGATTGGCTCAGATAAGCAACACTGTGGGGGGCCCGGCTTTCAGGATTGAGAGTCTGTCCCGAGGTGCTCCCGGAGGTTTTCTCGGCCATCCAATCGTTTCACTCGCTCATACTTCCAATATTACACTTCCACATTACGCAATTTCATCAATTTGACTTCTCCTTTAATAGGTAGTTCCATGTTTCACGCTGCGACTAACATCCCTAGTTAGCAAGGCAGCCCACGGAAGCATAATAATCCGGTCAGAGGATGGCTGTATGCCAGCTGGGCAGAAGCACAGACGGGGTACTCATGCGTAGCCCTTACTCTTGAGGTTTCGGAAGACACCTTGTTGGAAACCAAAGTGAGAAACGTGGGCGGAATGAAAAGATAGAGAGACGGCTCGCATACACAGCAAGTGTCGCCAACTTCCAATCATGGGTTCTCAGAGTTCCCGTACCTAGTTCATCAGCGGAATTGCTCTTTTGGCTAGGTAATCGAACCGACGCGCTGCGAAGCTTCCGTCCGAGACTTTTCACAGATAATCCATGAAAGGATATCATTCGTCAGGATAACATGGCCCTGGCTGGCATATTCCGGAAACCCGGATGGCTCCAGGCCCGCAGCATCTGATTCGTCGCTGGTTTTTCGCTTCATGCTCTGCATGTGGCGTAGTCGGCACGAGGAACCATGCAAAAGCACAAGGAACCATGCAAAGATACTCTACTGTGCGTTAGGTCCGTCCCGCCTTTGGTTGCTTTGAAGATCAGGAACCACATGGCGCAAACTAACGTGTGATCCATGTTCGATGTGATAGCTGACCATAAGCCCGTCCGCCCGCCGGAAAACGTCAGAATTTTGGACGAATGCTGCGTGTTGGAAACTTCTTCCCGTCTTCAACTGCACACTTTGCCTTTGATCCAGCAAGCAGGCTTTGGCACGGAAAAGAGAAGGTTCATTGGTGTACTTGGGACCTTCGTCGCCATTTGTGGTAAGAGCTTGAACCTCGAACTTGGTCTCAGAACGAACCTTCAACGGAAACCGGCCCAAATCGACCATACCATCGAAAACAGGCCTACGCACAATCTCAAGTAAACAACCACCACAATGTCGTCGCCGGCACTCCCTTTGGGGATGCCAAACCCGGCTCTGCACAGCATACCTACAGGGGTACCAAATCGAGGACCTCAATTGAACGCAGTGTATATTGGGATGGTGGTGCCTGCGACAGTCATTGTTGCTGTACGACTGGGGTGGAAGTACTGTCAGCCAAAGGGTCTGGGGCTGGATGACCTCTTCATAGGTCTTGCAATTGTCAGTGCTTAAGCTGGATTGTGCTGGTGGGCCTTCGTTAACAAAGTCTCAGCTCGCGGACTGGATCCACACAGGGCTTGGTCTTGCTAGTAAGTGGACAATCATCATCTAAAGTTAACGGCATCTGATATGGAGAACAGCTGTACAATATGGCTTCGGGCACCATGCTATTGATCTTCCCCCAAATGATCTCAAAAGAGCGATCATGGTACGGACCTACTCCCGGGTTGCCGCCCAGATCATAGCTAAAAAATTCTGCAGTTCTGGTACGGCTGCCAAATTGTATACAAGTTTCTCGTCGCCTTCACAAAACTCGCCATCATCTTCCTGTATCTCCGAATATTCGTCCAATGGAATCTGAAAAGATTCGCACAAGTCCTCGCGGGCATAATATTTGTCGGATCCCTCGCATTCGCCATTGCCTCAGTGTTTGAATGCAACCCCATACATAGAGTCTGGGACAGACGAATACCTGGGAGTTGTTTCAACCTTGGTGCATCCTGGTATGCGTACGCTGCATTCAATACGATATGCGATCTCATCATCATCATTATGCCGATGCAGGCGATCTGGAGGCTGCAACTTAAATGGACGCAAAAAGTGTCCCTGGCGGCTGTGTTTCTTTTGGGATGGTTCGTGGTCTTCACGAGCATCATGAGAATAGTCTCACTCCCAGCATCTGCAAAATCAAAAGAACCAACCTGTATGCAACCCGGCCCTCCGGCCCCGTCGTCATGACCTACCCTATCACGTCTGCTAACTTCTACCAAGGGGGCTCGGTCAACGCCACCATCTGGGCCGAAATCGAAGGAGGCACGGGCATCATCTGCGCCTGTCTCCCCGCCCTCCGTGCCCCAGCCCTGCAGCTATACCGCTACTGCACGGGTGAAAGCAGCAACGACACGGCCAGCCGGAGCCGGCAGTACAGCGAGTTCCACGAAATCGACAAGACGACCGGCAGTCACTACGACGCCGACGGCAACAAATTCGACAAGACGCACGGCATCTTCAACAACACTCCGCCGAATCGGAAGTCGAAAGTCATCGACCCTTGGGGCGACGCGATCCCCCTGTCTACGGCCCAGGCCACGGCTACGAGGGGCAGGACTAGTGATGATGATAGCGATGAGAGGGTGATGGGCATCACGAAGACGGTGGATTTCAACGTCTCGAATGTCTGATCTTGCCATCGACGTTGCGCAGTAACATATGTCTATATTGTATATACGATTGGTCTGTTAGCGGAGACGTGCTCTCAGGTCAGGATGGAAAAGTCGGGCGGCTGGGATGGAGGGCGCGCAACACCGCCTGTCTGTTTGGTGGGCATGTTTGTCTGCCTCTGCCGGTTCTTTTCCCCCGGTATCGTATCGAAAGACTGTATGATTAGAGCTGTAGAGACTTTAACGATCAAGATGACTTGGAATAATGGCATTGCAGTCACGGCTCTCCGAAATGGATGCCGAGATTGACCTCGTGAGACGAAAATACAATACTACTGTCTCACTGAAACTTATCCAAGTTCTTAACGTGCCGTAACGCCACCGATATGGGATAATAGATAAGTAGAGCGCCAACCCTGAACTGTGACGCTTCCATCCCTAGTATATGAAGAAGCCCAGCAGCCTGGCTTAGTGGGTCCCCTAGTGACCAAGTAGGTTTATGCCACAAGACAAGAGGACCGACCCTATGTAGAATCTTTGAAGATATATATATGTGATAGTCGTTCCACACCAGCCCTAGCATTATTGTTCGGTTGCCCACTTCCCCACCGTTTGTCCACTCTGAAACCTTGCCGCATGTGCGTGGGAGCGTTTTCTTGGCGCCGGAATGATGGGGATATGCACTGCTAGGTAGGCCCCTGGCGTGCGGACGGTATGACTACGTAAACGACTGTTTTGATCGTCGCCTGTGTGCGTCGATAGGTGTTTTGTTGTCCAGCTGCGCGGGAGATTGGCTTCAGGTCGCGTCGTATCGCATCGGATAGAGATGCGAGAGTGCTCGCTGTGATGGATGTGGGGAGTGGGAGCGGGTATGGAGCGAAGGCGCTCGGAATGTATCTTGAGGAACGGGTAACAGAGGTTCTGCTTCTGCAAGCGTGGACTTTCAAGTTAGATTGGCTCAAAGCAAGGCTCCGAGGCGTCTTTGGAGCCATTATTTCGCGGGCTCAAAACGCACGTAAAGCCCGACTTGTTTTTGAGAATATGTGCTCGGTTGCAGATGTTGGCCTCGTTTATAAAGGTCCTGCACATGCCAAGACTCTTGCCATAAGAGTTCGGGTAACGCCCCCACCGGAGATCTGCTTCGGAACTGCGCCTAACCCAGAACATATGGTAGTCTAGCGACCGCCTGCTACAGGGCTAGGGTTAGGGCTACTACTAGCGCCGTGTAGGACTTGAGGTACAGACCTTCGTATGGTGTGGATTCTTCACTGTGTGTGGAGCGAAGGCGCTCGTGGTTTATCTTTCGTTGATGTATCACTTTCGAAGCTGACTTCGGGCGATTGCGAGTTAAAAATTCAATGGCGTATGTTGTAATCTTGCATTAACCCCGCATGAGCCTGCATAAGCCCACCACAATGGCAGCTGCCTCGCAGCCTTGCGCGAATTTGTTCTCTACAACTTCCAATCACTCCAAGCTGTTCTCATGAAGAATGCCAATCACATTCGGCTCCGTTGGCGATATCATCTCGCTCTCTATTCTTATCAAAGACCTTGTGCGATCCCTCGATAACAGCCGCGGCTCTCCAGCAGAGTACCAGGCTGTGATTCGCGAATTATGGGGCCTTGACCACGCGTTGCTCGAAGTCGAAGTGCTGTTTCAATCCTGTGAACAGACAGTCTATTTAAGGGCGTTGAGGGTTACCGTTAATGAATGTGTAGAGCAATGTCGGAATTGCATTGTGAAGTTTCACGAGCAGATAAAGAAGTTCGAGAAGAGTCTACAATCTGGAGGTTCAGACAGCTTCATCAGAGATATAGCTATGAAAATTCGATGGCAGGTTTCGAAGGACGACCTCGCCAAATTCAGAGCTGAGATCAATGCGCATTGCTTCTCTATCAATATGCTGCTGACGACGACTGGCGTGTTCGTATCCCCAAGTCATACCCTGATCGTGGCCTTGACTAAGGTGAACAGTACTCTCGCCAAACTGAACGACGAAAATGTACAAACAAGTCTTAGGCAGTCCGAGCTATCCCATGCAAAGTCGTCAGCTACTCAAGCCTACGAATTGACTGAGATCAAAAGTCGCTTAGAGGACAACAACGCTTTGATCAAGGCAGCGGCATCTGAGACCAAGGATTTGGGCTTAAGATTTGACATGTACGTAATTATAGATCACTGTTTATCCAAAACTGACAATTTTCTCTAGGGATTACTTAAAGAGCCTTGGAGCTGACATTCTCTCATTCATGCAAAAGATATGGTAAGTCTCGAGCATGAACCCGGCTATGAGACACATGCATTAGCTGAAAATCGAACGCTGCGCAGGAAAGTCAATTTCTTGACTTACAAAGCTGTGATATCCCTACAGACTAGTATTCCAGCTCAACTCGAGCGATGCTGGACACAAGAGCCGGCAACTCTCGAAGACGCTTTAGGCCGAGTGACTGCCGTACACCTAGAATTCCTCGATTCCTGGGAAGTAAGTTGGAAAACACCCTCGGTCCTGTATATCAAGAAGTCTAATACATACTTTCTAGGCTTTCGAAGCCGTTCTCGAAGTTCGCTTTCGACAATTACCAGGCCATCGAAAGATAAGGCAAGGAGAGTATGCACTCCAGGCCAGTTCATGGGAAAGGGACGTCGAGCGTTCCCTTGCTTTGAACCGATGCTTCCTACCTGGTCAGCGTATTAACATGAGTATGATCTTCGACGGCAAATTCGGACGTCTTAGCTCTTGTCCTGGATGTCACCTAGTCACTTCTAAAACGGAGGAAGAACTTGACTCACAGGTGCAATGGTAATGTTAAGGATTCGCACTGTATGTCAGATTGCTTATTCTCGTAGTCCCAGGTGCAAAATGTGGTACCAACAAGTCTTGCAGAAGACCACGACCGAACCCAAACCCATGAGTATGATTGAGCCCAAGGTCGTTGCGCAAGATACACAGCTGCCAACGCCACCTCAGCGGAAGCGACAGTGGACTGAAGACGAGGAACTTGATGATAACCCGGCACACTTTCGGCGAGTACGCTTGAGGTATTGGAACCAAAGTCACAAGCTAGGAAGAAGCCCAGCATACCAGGATGCTGACTACAGCCCAAAGAGTAGTGCAAAGACTATAACGGCTAAAGCAGCTTCAACACAAGCAGCACCTCTCGAAACCCCAACCTCACGCACTGGTGTCGGGCAAACACCACTACAGCAAATATTCGAGTCAGCTGTCGACCGATCAAGCAAGATTGAAAACCCTGCGCTCGGTATCGCTTTTGAGCAGCTATATGAGGCAAGCCTGCGGAACAGTGTAAACGACCATCATGAAGCTGTGCTCTTTCAGAAGCCAGCGTTGCAACCAATTGTCGCACTTCAGAGCTATCTCAAAGCCGGGAAGAAGCAGATCAGAGCTTATAACAAGCTAGACTCTGCAGAGCTACAGCGAATTGCCGCTTCATTTGAAAGACAGGCGTTCTGATTTGGACCTCGCAGCCCCTCTAAGATTAATGGGTGATTCTGAAGACAGTCTTGTGAACTAGGTGGAATCGACGACTCTCAGATGCTTGCTTAGTAGCGGCTAAAACGTACGAGAATGGATAGGTCTTGTTAGAGGACATGACAATATCGGATCAAGCCCAACTCCAGAGATACGGTGGTGGGGCATGAGCCATATGATGACTTCGTCACTGCTAAATTCGCCTCATTTTTGCGATTCATACAATTGGTCATTATCAAGTTAGTCAGTTTAGCAGCGACATTCGAGTCATTGCTTGATATTGAAGTAGAATCAACAAGTACCACTCAGTTACCTCGCTTCTGCGTTTGCTATTTGAAGTCGGCGCGTACAGGTACCATACTGCCAGAGTCGTCGTCTATCATTTCATACACGTATCTCTAAACGTCTTTCTATATTCCGAGAGTAATGCCCATCTTTCGTAAAATCTCCCAGCTGGCTTATTCTTTTGCCATTCTATCACAGCAAGAGCATCCAATCACTTCGGCGCCTGAGGTCTGTGCGCCGGGGTCTTGGCGGTTATGCACCTTTCTGAAGAGTCTGGCCTGACAGAGAAACTCGCGCGGCTTGGATAGCGAAATGACGGTCATCATCGTGGAGAATAGCAGCGTTACAAGTGCTAAAGGGGCTCAGGATGTTCGACGACGTGCTTTGGAACTTTTCGACTGCATCATGGATGCCCATCAAAGATGTTTTGGCGTGAATGGGAGATTAGTCCCAATGCTATTCATGTAGCTTTTGTAGTCATCCTAGCCATTGCGCTTGAACTCGCTATCCACTTGAGCCGAACGTCTAGGTATGCCGCACCCTTTGGAGCGTACTATTGAGCTCTACATTACACCATCGGAAACTCGCTTGGGATCGGAGACGTTTACTGGCGATCCCGCCTACTTTGGCCTGGGACGTGACGTCTGCGGTGTTATCTGATCTAGTGGGATAATATCGTTCTCATCAGCCAGTTCTTCTTCGAAATCTACATAAAGGACAGAGTCGAAGCCTCATGGATGAATGCAATCGTTCCCGTTACAAGTCTTACAACTCAGATAATCGCACTCATTAAACGTGAACTCGCACCCATTTTTCAAATAGACGCTCCCACATATCCCACAACCCGCACCCCCTTCCGCGGTCGAGGTGTAGATCTCCGCGAAGTAGTCCTGTATCTCGGCGCCCGAGATCCCGCCGGCCGGGTACTCGTTCGCACACTGGAAGATGGCGGTGCACCCTTCCCAATATTCAGAGTTAAACCAATGGGAAGTGTACTGCGAGTACATGGTGTCGTTGCCGTATCTGCTGGCGGCGGTCTGGCAGTCCCCCTTCGAAACGGAAGAACCGCAGAGGAAGTCATGGCCGTTGCAGTTGGAGCTGGCTACTGGGAGGAGAGGGGTGGTGGGAGTCGGACTCGTTTCAATGGTAAAGTAAAGAGCTAAAAAAGGGGGATGGGTTAGTTCTGAATTGGGAGTGAGAGGAAGGCGGACCGCTTACTGCTGATCCACAGCGCCCAGTTATCCGCTAAAGAAGCCAGATTAGTATGTGTGGTTTGCGGTGACGGCGGTCGTTGAAGCTCATACCATTGGTCAGGCTCATGTATTCACCTATATTTGGGTTGCAGCCGAAATACTTAGCCATGGTTAGAACATTTGGATAGCCGAATAACTGGGGGGAAGCTTGAGGATGTCAGCGGTTAGTCTCAAATAAGGGATCGGACGAAAGATCTCCATACTTGCACTCTTGCTATTGATTAAAGGTACAAGCTGCACGAGTAGACTTAAAGCGGCTCTTCCGTAATTCGCACCGGTTAGCTGCTCCTCTGACAGGCTTACTTGACCGGCTTTTAGCTGTTCGAGCATCGCAGCCCTGGAGATGAAGTCTTGCTGCGCCAAAGTCTTGTTGCAGAATCCAATGAAAGAGGAATTACCCTGTCCAGAGCACATTGGATTCAATTTAGGTAAAAGGAGTTCGGAGTGAAGGCTGACATACCGCTTCACTGTGCGAAGTGTATGCCCAACCAATGGAGCCATTCTCCGGGCACTCCACCGTGACATTGGATTGCGGAGGCGGGACACCAGTTGCACAATAGACAAAAGGTTGGGAATGGCTGCCCGAATAGTCATTTAGCCAGCTGGTGTCGTATGGTAGCCATTGGTATTCTTGTACTTTGGCTAGGTTTGCCAGGGTTGCTGTTCGCGATGAGTGCCCACATCCTGCCACCTGCTTGAGAAACTCACCGTTAATCCAGGTTGAAGCCTCTGAAGTCAGACACGCTGCACCCATGTATAGCTCTAGGATCGGCTGATTCACTAAATCGTTCCAGACTTCCTGGACCGCCTGCACCATTGTGATGGCATCGCTTATCGCCTGAGCAGCTAATTGTTTCGTGGAACAAGAACAATCTTGGGCGACGGGTTCTCCGTCTCCGCTGTCACAGTCCTGCACAACCGGAGCTGTCAAGAGATTGAGCTTGACATATTGAAGTGGATAAGTGGAAACGCTTGAGCCATGGGAGGGAGTGGTCAAGTTGACGATTGCAGCCTCGCTTTCTGCAGTCGTAGCATTCAATCCTCGGGGGCGAATAACCCGGCGATTGAAGCCGTTTCGGTCTTTTGTCTCGGATGAAGATTGAGATGCTTGTACGACAGTGACCGCCACAAGGGTTTGGCACAATATTTTCCACGACAGGAACATGTTCAGAAGCAAATGACAAGAGTCGGAACTGCGTAGTGATTAAGGACACGCGATTGGAGAAGTGCAGTTAAGAAAGAAATGAAAGAGAGTCGAAAGGGCTGGCCCGTTCCGCCATCCAACAGATGTTGGAACACATAAACCCTTCTTGGGTGTGCACTTGCCTAATCGGAGTAGTACATGGCTTCACATCCTACATAGATGGCTACCAACTACATGCTTCTCCACATTATGTGCCTACTACATTCCCATATGACAAAGACAGATAGCTTCGCTCCAGTGAGATGAGGGTAAATAGGCGATGCAGCAGGTAATTCGTTTCTTTCTCTGCTGTACTTGCAGTGTTTTTGGAAGATGGACGCGAATGTGAAACAGAGTACCAACATCTTTGTCGGCGCTACTCGTATATACCCGTTAATGCCCGTTACCTCGTAATGCACGGTCTAAAACTCAATCAGTGAAACTTCAGAAATTCGTCCTTTGATAACAGTACTTTATAATCAAATCACTCAAAGCTTAAATTATATAACGAAGTATAAGATTCTTAAATTTTAAGAAATTTTGAAAATTGCAATTATATTAGTGAACCTTATATAATAGTGTAGTAGAGTCTACCTGGATTCTTTAAGCCCCATATGTACCGCGTAACGGAGTAGGGGGTTGACGGCCGTGCATCACGAGGTAGCGGTTATTACCGGGTATATACGAGTACGCACCCGCGAACTGTAATTTCAAACCGTTAGTAAAGCAAAGTACCTTTTATATTATACCTACATACAAAATCGATTTTTGAGACTAGCATTGATACTAGAAACATTATAGAACCATAAAGTATTTGATCCATAACTAAGGAAAGATACATCATCGTCAGCTACGTTGGCTGTTCTTCCCCAAAAGCGGATTCAAAAAATAATCACGAACCAACAATTGGAGGGAAATCATTTCTTGGCTCCAGAGTACATGCTAATCTCCATTGAGCATAGGCGAAGTACTGTTGGAATTCAGCAACTCAGCCCTGTTATGCTTGGCATAGACTATAAGTAGCAGTACTCCTCCATAGAAAAACAATAAGCCGTCATCAATTTCATCAAGTACTACAACTAAGGTACCACCGTTGTTGTTGGGGGTATTTAGTTCGTATTAGGTTCGATTCCTAATGGCGCTGGTACAATGGTGTTGCTGTGCTTTTTATTTTCTACCGTACCTTACACCTTAGCGGTTGGCCGAGGTCTTCCTACCAAGAACTCAAGGCACAATCACCCTTTGCTCACGTTACTATTGCCGAAAAACCTCAATGTCTCAGAAACGAGGCAGATCTGTATCGCCGGCATCACCTCCCCTTGTCTTTAAATCTTCCCCCATTGAAGATCGATCTTCCACATTCCTCGCATTTTACTCCCCCACTCTCGCGGCCAAGGAGCTACAAGCACACACCGAGTTCAAGAGTGCAAGCCATCGCATTGCCGCATGGAGAAAGCCTAGCAGTCAGCGTTCGCTCAACGTGCAGCGTCTTTTGGACACCGGTCATGATGATGACGGCGAGAAGTATGGTGGCAAGGCTGTGGAGAAGGTCCTCATGGAAACGGATGTAGAAGGCGCAGTGGTAGTAGCCAGGTGGTACGGTGGCGTCATGCTTGGTCCTATGCGCTTTGACCACATCAAGAATGCTGCCCGCGATGCTATCATGCAATGGGCACAAGACAGGGAAAGGTCGGCCAAGAAGGCAAAGGTACGAGAAGATGAGGCCGAGAAGGAAAGGCTGATACAGACCCTCCCGGAAAGAGACCAAAGTATTACAGTGTTGAGAGACTTGCTTGCCGGGAAGAGTCAGCAGCCGTCGTCCGCACCAAGTGGGGAAAGGACTCCGGCGAAGAGAACGGATTATTCCACTTTGCCACTAGCCACGCTTGAAAAGCTCGAGCGAGTGAGAGATGCTACCATTGGATGGATACTCAAGCAGTTAGAAAAGGCTGAGAACACACAGGTGGAGGAACCTGGTGCAAAGAATGCAGCCATACCAAAAGCACCAGGAGCGCCGAAATCGTCGGCCCATGTTGGTGCGCCCCCCGCAAAGGAAGAGATATCGAAGATAGCAGATCTTGGAAGTCAAGGTACGGAAGTTGCTCCGCCGAAACATGCTGTTATTTAAAACAATGCGCCACGATGGGGTTGCCCAATTCGCACATACTCGCTCACCTTGGGGAAGCAGTCTCTTGGATCTTTGTGCACGAATAGGGAGCTTAGCTGAGGAGATTCGATAATGGAAGAGATGGAATGATGTGCGAAGGGGATCAACTTTGTCGCGGTTTTTATTGCTGCTCATGTCTTCTCCTGCGACCTGTTTTAGGGCCGGCCGCTCCAGGAAGGCTGCTGGCGAGGGCCAGAAGCCGCTACGGTCTCATGGTTGTACACGTTGTGTCGCCAAAAAGCTTGGCAGTCATCAAACCTCTTGACTGTGGGCACTCTCGAAATCGCAGTTGAAAACTCGAGCCGATACAAAGTCATCGACATTTTGCGAAGAATGCAAAATTTTGGCCGGCGAAGCTGGCCCCCGAAGCGAGACATGACGACGCCTGTAAGATATTACAGGTCACCACTACACAAGCACAGGCAAGAAGAACTCCTGACAGCTCTCGCTTATCTGGTCCGCGAAGCATACGTTCACAGCCGATTTGATACGGGACATTGAGGTAACATCATCGTAGTATGCAGAGAGTCTGGGATGCCCAAAAGAGGAATGGTACGGCCAGTGTCAGAGTTGCGAATGTTGTTCTAACTGCCGCCTGCCACGCGACACGCTTTTCAGTCCCGAAGCTAACTAGACCGACCAGGACATCGGTGGCATTGGCAGAAGCGCCTGTCTTCCCGGCTCGTTCCAACTGACGTCAAAGAGCCGTTCATAGCTTGAATCTCATAGCACGGCAATGCTTCTTATTGGATAGAATGGCGCTCCTGGAGGCGGTTCGAAGGTTTATGTTGGGCCGTCGGCACTGGGTAGTGATATCATGCTACGAGTGGTGGAGGTTCTGTCACGTACTGTTGCATTATAAGATGGCCGGCTGATTGGTCTTGAGGGACATGTATCTCCAAGGTACTTTCTAATCTAAGCAAAACAACCGCTAGACCTACAACATCGGAAGCGACGCTGGCTGTGAGGAGCCATTGATGATTCTGCCCTTGATCAAACGCGCGAGCAGTGTCCCATGAATCCTGCCAAGACGCCTTCCTATCTCTCCATCCATCGACCCCAGCGCTACCGACCTATCGTGACAAATCCCTTCTCTTTCTAAACTCGAACCCTTTCGGGCTACACGCGCTGACCCTATTAAAATACCACGAATGCGCCGCTACATCCGTCCTGTTACGATCATTCCCCGTATTCCCCAACAGATTTACATCCCCGCTCAGGACGGTGATGTCCTCCGCCGTCGGAACGACCCCAGTCACGGTATCGATGTAGTATTCTGGACTGATGTGCACGTACCCCAACGCGCGAGGCGGCAGTCGCGGCACCGGGTCGTCGTAATGCGTCACTCGGAAATTGCCCCCCTTGTTCTGCTTCGTGATGTATTCACTCAGCGCGGGTCCGGCGATGCGCGGTGCGCCGTACGTGTAGAGATCGGCGTCGGTGCCCGCCTTTCTGATCTCGGCGGCGGCGATGTCGGCGATGGCGCCGCCGAGGCTGTGCCCGACTACGACGACGCGGTTGGTGGGGTAGGTGGAAGCCGTGGTTTTGATGGCTGCGAGAACGCCGGAGCGGGCTTCGAGCCAGCTGTTGTAGCTGTTGCTGGGTTTTAGTATCTTCGCTTTTCAGACGGGAATGGTGTTTCAGAGGGATACAGATCGGACACGAAGCAACCAGAGAGCCTACGTACAATCCTTGGTGGCAGAAGCATTGAGGGCAGATGTCGGTGGGGATAAGCGCAAAGTCAAGATCAGCGGCCCAGTTGCGGAGGGAATGGGAGCCGCGAAACGCAAGGATCGTAAGCGAGAGGGTGTGGTCGACGGCTATGTAGCCAGTCACGCCCGTTAGGAGTCCGGAGCTGTTCGACGGAGAGGTAAATTTAGCGCCGAAAGAATTGCAGTGAGGTGCCGGACAGAAGGGTTGGACGGATGGGATCACGAGTGTTCTGGCTTACTTCTGAAACTCGTGGACAGTGGTCACGTCGTCAGCTTCGACAAGAGGGCAGTTGTGGCTTGGACATGTGAGCTTGCTGCCGTCGGCAGTGACATTATTGTTGCTTTTGCAGTAAGAAGCCGCAGCGAATTGTTCGAAGAGCTGCAGGTCCGTGAATGTGGCGAAATCGATAGCTGTTTTTTCATGTTATTAGTTACGAGTGTCTAGGGGCATTTGCAGCAAATCTTGTAAGACACCTACACCTTTGCTCAAGTGGAGCGGTCATTGCATAGGAAAAGAAGAGCAGAATGGCTTCAGCCAACTGGATAAAAAAGGTATAGGCCATTATCGGCGTCGATTACTCTCAGCACAGTATGTTGGAAGTGGCTTCGTTTGGCTCTGGTGAATGGAATCGGAGGGGCAAGTGGCTCCTTTCAACTCATATCCTGATGGCTTGCGCATTTTGTGGGACTGCCAAGCCGAGTCGGTGAGCAGCTTACTGAGATATGGAAATACATCTTTGGAGATGTACAGTCAGATAACATGTAGAAACCTCGGCCGAAGCAATGCGGTATACCAGTCATCGAGATACCTTTCTGGGTCTTATCAACATCACAATTTCGGCTTACGTAGGATTGGTCTTTGGTTCAGATTCCTGGAACCTTTCGGGCATAATTCCTCTCCGTGCATTGGGTATTCTAAATCAGTGGCTTGCACACGGTGGCGGTGTAGATCATTCGAACAAGAGCAGTCTGCCAGGCATTCGGATGACAGTAACACCCGGACCGACCATCTTTCAATATGCGCCCGCGTAAGAGGGACTCTGGAACATAAGATCAAATGGCTCACTCGGACGGGGTGTAGATACTCTAAATGGCATCTCCTTTCCGGCTGCGGGTAGGCGGCTACACTGTATGAGTGGCAAGGTACTCGCGGTCGAAGCGTTTCCGAGAACCTCTAAAATAAGCTGGTGGCATAGGCGGGTACAGTGAGAGTGCCGAGGTCTGTGTCGTGCCTGAGGAGAACTTTTCGAGGTGGGAGGTGCTTTCAGATAGACCGCAGAGCAATTATCGTTTATGTTCAAGAAACAAAGAGACAGATGATGAGCATTTGTTGCCCAAGTCCCTACGCATTCCTTGCCAATTACCCCTTTGTGGATGAATCCACTCAGCGATCTGGGTAGGAGAGTAGCCCATGCAGATTGAGAATGGCCGCGTAGCAACGTATTGCCATCCCGTGCCGTGTTGTCATTGCGCGTTCTCTTCTCACGAACCCACCCTGTTCTTTTGCTCCAACACGCCAATCAATGCTCTCCTCGATAATAACTGTGTTTCCTTTCCATATATGCGGCGTGTGCTGTAGCACCCTCTTCAAATCACCCTCCTGGTGTCAAATTTGTTACCTTGGTCCTGAATAACCACACATATGAAGCCAATTTCTTCCTTGACTTCCATCTCATAATGTTCAGTACTTCACTCGCGTTCGGAATTAGCTGGGAAGTTGCTCGGTATGAAATTCAGGCCTTGAGACATATGCAGCTTTTCGGAATGGTACCTCTTTCTTAGGCCGAGGCAATCACAAGCAGGACTCTCTTGCTGATAGCTCAGAGAGTTCAGAGAGTTTCAGCTGCCTAACAGGTCTAGGATCAGATATAGGTACATGGCAGGGCGCTTATCCACTTGTAAATTTCCGGAGTACAGCTCCACAGTTCGTCCAGCCTTGCTATCCGCTGGAGGAGTATTGAGGCACAGTCTTAGCGATCTGAAGCACTGTCAACGGAGGTTGGGAGTTTGAGAGAGCTGAGAGTGATAGCGCATTCGGAGACGTTCGCTTCTGGGGGATCAGCGTATAGTCTGTTGACGACGAGAAGGACGCGCTCGTGCGTCTCGCTTGAAGAACATCTATGTTGACAGCAACGTTACAGTATTCTCATGCATCTAAGAGCCGAATTTCGAGAGCGCGAGCCTGCCAAGGTCACTGTTGTAGTCTGCGGTCTAATTATAGTCGGCTAGCTTCTTTTCAACTCCGCCAATCCTCCAATCCTGTCATAATTGACCCAGCGCATTCGCATTCCCTCAATTCAAGCGTGTAGACACCCGCTTTCGAGAAGCCTTTGAGAAAACCTTCGCCTTTGTAGTCAATCCGCCATGTCTGACATCCAGACCTTCTCTGTAAATCATCTTATGGCTCGTAAGCTTGGTTAGTGCTGACGAGTCAGCTCGTCCACATATATCAAGCGCTGCAGTCTTTTTCAGAGATTCTACTATATTTTGCTTTGATACATGATAAAGCTCCTGTACTTACGCCCACTGCACTATGTGTCTTCGACCCAGGCAGATTATTTCAAACTCTCCACTCCTGAAACGATCTCTGTTTGCGTTGGAGATTTTACTGAAATCATGGGAAACCTTGGAACCGAGGGAGAATCGACAGGCTCAGACTTCATAGAAGAACTCGAGGTGGAGACCTCGTCAGAGGTGAGTTGATATGGTCATGTTTCCCCCAACCGAAGTTGTCTTCTCATAGCGCATTTCAAACCCTTTCCGTAGGGATACTATGTCAACGTCCAGCCCATGTGGAGCTTCAACGATTGGGGCATCGTCCCTGGCGCCTTGCTCATGCCTCAATGTGTTGCAGCTTCATACCGGACAGTCCCACTAGGCTTCCATACTCACAGCGTCCAAACCCACTTTCTCGGCAATGGTACGGTGACGAAACGTGCTACTTATCGCGTGGAGAATCTCAACGATGGAAAGACCTTCGCTACCAGTAAAGTCAAGGTCGAGCAGGATAGCAAGACCATTGTGTTGACGACAGTTGGTTTCGCCAAGAGGGCGTCGGTCGCGGGACGAGGGGTAGCGGTTGTCGAGCACGCAGTCCCTGTTGTGATGAGGTTCGATACGTCCGTGGGGACTCCAACCCTACAATCAAGGGATATACGCTGCCAATCGTTGCCAAAGGTGTGTGTGAGGCAAGACATATTCTGCGCAAATTTATCCTGACTTCTCCAGGCCCCTCCCCAGCAGCCGAATCAAAGCTCGCACGACATTGGCTCCGCGCAGATGGCCCCGTCTCAACGGAAAACGGTAATATGCAAAACGTCCTCGGCCTCGTCGCCCTCTCCGATATCTTCCTCCTAGACTCAGCGCCCCGCATCTACGGACTGGGATTCGACCTCACGACGGAGAAATCTCCGAGTGAGCGTTTGGCGAGGGATCTCAAGGCCATGACTACTATCAACCACAGTATCCATATCGTCAATGTGGATGCGGCGCGAGTGGATGAGTGGGTTTATGTGGAGTGCAAACTCCATGGGCGAGCAGTGGGAGGATTATAGTGCATTCGCGCATGTTCAGTCGAGATGGCGTTTTGCTGGCGACGTGTGCACAGGAGGTTCGTAGAGGGTTTCCGTTCATGTGTGGACTTTCCACTGCTGACGATTTTGAAGGGCCTTTTGCTCTTGAGGAAGAGCGCTAGTGATAGCATCGCGCGGCAGAAGCTGTAGCTGTCTTAACACAAGGGTGTGTCGGTGAAGTCTGACGAGGACTTCGATAGGGGGTTATCACGGGAGGCGGGCTTGTCTTCACCAAGAAAAGATACTGGCGAAAGGCCATTCAAGAGCTTCATTGCTGGCGTACTCTTCATATACACAACGCGATACTTGCCATCTCGGACTATACTCTATAGTCTCCTCCCGTGCTCCTGCTCGAATTATTCATGTCTTTGAGTGCGTCTGCACTGTCTATGTCCCCGCCCCAAGATGCCTTTCGCTTCGTTATTCCCGAGGAAGCACTTCAAAAGCAATCGCGAGCTCCGCATGGGGTATACTACCGCAATGCTTCAGTACAGGATTTGAGTGTTGTTGTGCAATAACGACACTGCCGGAAGGCCTGTTTCATAAAGGTGGGCATCCTGCGTGGGAATAGCTGCGTCCCTTTTGGGGTGTCAAAATTGCAAGATATTCTGCGCCAACAACAATCCGAGTCAGAGATAGGAGGGGGTTCTACGACGAGAAGACATCACTTGGCTATACAGTCGGTGCGTGGACATTAATTGCTGTGAGGGTGCTCTGAAAGTGGGCCTGGACTATGTTTCTCCGAAAAGGGTCCCTGTTGGAATTGTCTGTACTAAAAGGAAGTAAAATGAATCTGGCTCGACAGAACATGGATCGTGCTACTACCTCATAAGATAGCATTACATCGCGCGACCCCTTGCAACCTTCTCCTGGCACTCCTTGAAATCCAAGGCATCCGCATCCACACCTTTAGTCTCAGGCACCAGGAAGAACGTGGAAATGGCACCTGCGACGTTGCAAGCGAAGAAGATCCAGAGGACGTTTGCTACGCCGATCTTGGTGCTCAGGTAGTTGAACAGTACACCGGATAGAATGGCACCGAGTTTCCCGACGGCGGCACTGACTCCGTGGGCGAAACCGCGTACGCGGGAGGGGTAGAGTTCTCCGGGGATAATGAAGGTGGTGGCGTTGGGACCGAAGTTGAAGAACATCTAAGGACGCGCAATCAGAATTGTGCTTCTACTCCTGCTGGGAAGAACGTTTGGCTTACCTGGGCGATTGTGAAGCAGACGAATTTTCCAGCTGTCCCCAGATGTTTATAGTCGCCGGCAATGATACCAAACATGAGCGCGCAGACAAGGAAACCTTGGATCTGAATCCAGCGACGACCAAGAATCTCAATAAAATAGATTGTAAGGAAGTACCCAGGCACGTAGCCGGCCGCAGCGATTATCAGATTTCCATAGGCGTTCTTGAGGAGCGTGTCATATTCGGTTTTGCCTTTGGAGAAACCGATCGCAGCCAGAAGCACGGACTGGTTGAGATTGAGACCGTAAAAGGCGACGTCGACAAGGAACCAGCATGATGCTGTGCCAACAAGCTGCTTCAGATGTCTCCACTCGCTGAAGTAGACCATGAATGTCTTCAACTGCACGTCTCGAGTCGGTGGCGCAACGTGGGCTTCGACGATTGATGCATTTCTGTCTTGGGACGAGACATCGTTTGAGTCAGCATCCGTGGTGTGCGCTTTGGCACCCTTGCCGGTGTAATCCATGGTCGTGGCTGAAGAAGAGAGTGATGACGATTTGAGCATGCTGAGCTCCCCAGATTGTAGGTATTTCTTGCTTTCGGGCATGGTCAGGCGCTGGTAAAGAGTGGCGAAGGCTGGTACCAGGGCTACCCCAATCTGGATTCGCCAGACGGCGTCGAGTTGGTTGTACTCTCCGTGCTTTAGGGCTTTGCTGAAGCAGCCGAGAACGATGAGCGTGACGATTGAGCCTGCGAGTGTTCCCTGTCCACAGACACTCTATCAGCAAGAGTTTCTCATAGCCTTCTCGGCCAACGTGGCTTCAGACTTACCCAGCCTTGATTCGAGAAGATCCAGCCCAGCATACGTCCACGGTTGCGTAGCGAGGAACGTTCAGCAACAATCGACGCGGACATTGGGTAGTCTCCACCAATACCGATGCCCATCAGCACTCTCATGCCGAAGAGATACCAGAACTTATTCCTGGTGGGACCCTTCAAGTTATTCGGCAAGCTGATGACCAGTATGACACCAACGATCATGATGATCATCTCTTTCCCATAGACAAATTTCCTGCCGAAGGCATCACCAAGGAATCCGAAAGAGAGTTGACCGATAATGTTGCCGATGTTGGCAGCCGCGTTGACGGCGCCGCGAAGGAGGAGAGGGTATGTGGGGGTCTTCTTGGGTGGATGGGCCAGACCACCCCAGTATTCGTAGGTCCATATTGGGGTCACCAAGTTGATGATGAAGAGGTCGTAGGAGTCAAGGAAGAAACCGACACTGTCAGCGTGTCAGCGGCTTGTTCTTGATTCTGCAACATGGATCTCACCCGCAGATGGCATATAGCTTGAGATCTCCCCGGGTCATGACACGGCTTGCGCCAGTCGGCCTCTGGGATTCCTCATACTCCTCCTGCATGATAAGTCAGACCAAGACCTAGTCCATAGTCCACGTCATGGGGAACGCGTGGGGCAGCGAGCGGTACGTACGATGGAGATCATGTTTCCAAACTCATCCTTGCGAGTGTAGCCTTCCTCTTCCCACTTCATGATTGCGACTGGGATGCGAAGATGATGGTGGAGGTAGAGGAAGGAGCAGCAGTCTGTGGAGGTCGAAAGATGGTAGGCTGACGACAGTAGACCGGATCAAGCAAGGGCGTAGAGGACTTCTTATATGTGCACCAGAGCTTGTCGCCAAGGTGGCAAGTGAGGGTTGAGACATGATGTATGGTGGTATACGGTCGAGCTGGTGGAGACTAGGTAGTCCAGTCGGTGGAGAAGGCCAGAGAGCACCTTCCTGGATTTGTCAATCTCTCCGTGCCGTGCAAGAGGTGATGTTGCAAAGCCACAGAGATGCCAAGAGGAAAAGGCGAGCTGCGGTGGAAATGATTTGAATAGTGGCAGTCAAAGGTATGGAAGACGGGCAGCCTATCTTTATTAAACGTGGACAAACGGCTGAATCTTATAGGCCAAAGACTTGCCAGCGGCATCGCGGGCCCCCTCATCTAAGTACTTTAAGCCCGTATAGGGTGTGGCACCTCGGGCGTCACAGGCTTGGCTGGCCCCCGCCGGCGCAGGGTCCATAAGTGGGGGTGTTCCCCACGTGAGACTAAAAGTAATGCCGCCTAGGTAGGCCGAGGCACCCCCTTTCTCGTTGTATAAGCGTCACCATCTAACCGCGTCTATTGTACACACTACTCTATCTCGGACTATCGGACGAGGCAGAAAAAAAAAGAAACAGGAACCCAAAATTGACCGTCAAGCGGTTACCGTGTTGGGCCATACTGTGCATTTGGATCAACATATCGTCCCACCCTTCGTCCTTTGAGTCAGAGTGTCAAATCTCAATACGGTATTTACTTGCGAGAAGAGCTGCGGACTTGATCCCGCGGCTTGTAGATACGGTTGCTCACAAGGCTGATATACCCAGAATCTGGGCTGGCCAATCTTCTGATTGATCGGCAATATCGACTACGGTCCGGCAATTTCCCCCAGCCCTGTCAAGAGAACGTGTGGACGCTTCCTTGCTTTCGTGCTATGCCACACGAGTTTGGTTCAAGAACAAAAGAGAATGTGGGCGCTTCTATACGGATTTGGTTCAAGAACAGATCCTCGACGATTGGGGTATCAAGTCTACCACCAATTACCGAGAAACCTCCTCCCACAGCTTGACAATCAGTCTTCATCGTTGTCGTCAAGCTATTGAGATGTTTGCTGAAGCAGACTTCTCTTGGTACTACCACCCACCAATGAACTGATGTAAAAACACTGGAATTGCCCTGCACATCTTTCCCTCTAGCTCATCAAAATCTGATATTTAGATTGTGACATGAGTGGAACGCGGTCAGTCGTTCCTCCATAACAAGCAAGAGCTCCAGTGCTTCTATCACGCCCTTTTTATTGCCTAAGACCGATGACCCGGCCTCTTTGCCTTGCTTGATGACCTCAAGTCACCTGCAACCATTCGAGCGGCGGCGGCTGCAGGAGGTCTCCTTGGCAGTAGCTGCGGAGGCAGCATGAAATCGATGTCGACAAGAAGTGGTGTGTTGAATCTTGCAACGAATTACCTGTCAGATCTCGGTCAAGGTTTGGCCAGATGGATCGAAAGGCATAACACTAGCAGTTTTAGCATGGCCCAGTGCGATTTTCGGCGCGCCATAGATAATACGCATTGTTCTCGTAGAATTCTAGATCGTTACGCTTGCTCATCCGGGATCTCAAGGTGGCTGGATGACTGTTCCAATCTCACGCCTGTAACGGAAGGTGGCCTCAATGTGAGCTTTGTCAAGTGACCCCTCGATTATTTAGGGCCAAGGCCAAGGCCATCCGGTACCAGAGAGCAGTGTGCACAATGAGGTCCTACCGAGCTAAGATGACCTCAGTCATCAGGTATTCGTGGATTCATACCATTAGTCGCGATATCCGAGCATTTACCCTTCCGAAATCTCTTATCCTACGTTTTCTCCAGAATTACTCGGCGATCTCGTTCATTCAAAGAACTTTCATGACGAACATGTCAGTTTCATTCGCTCAAATTGTCGCAATCTTCCGCGTGGGCCTTTCGATGGCGGGGCACGTGTTGGGGGCGACTGATGGAGATTACATTATTTGGCCCGTAGCGAGTCTTAACCAGACAAGATGTGCTCATCTTGTGACCTGATTACAAGGTATTCCAGTCCGAAAGATGCTTTTACTTCAAAGGATCCTTCGAGTCCTCGGGCACCTAGACCCCATATTCCGGGCTGTCACACTTTCCACTTCCGCGTACCAGCAACCACAGGTATGCACATCTG